ACCATTAAATAACTTTGCTTCATCGTTGCCGTGAAATAAGCTGATGGAACCTTATCGTTTTAAAACTGAAGTGGTGCCTGATATTCAACATCTTTCACAAGATGTCTCCAGTGCAGGATTTCCTGGTTTGCTGCAGCTTCAAAACAAAACAAAACAAAACTTTCGCATGAAATAACTCTAAAAGAAATCACACGAATCAATACACAAACAAAACAAACTTTCGCATGAACCTTATTAATAAATATCTTTTGAAACTTCGAACCTAGAAACATTGATTGAAACAGAGCAGTTTCTTTTTGAAGGCAATTTTACTTTTTGAAGCACACAACTATTGTAAAACAAACTCTGTGGCCTTCAACTGCAATACTATTATTTTTGTGAGATGGGATACATAGACTGTTTACATATTAACAAAGTTATCAAGTCAGCATACAATTTTAAGATCGAAATATGAGACATCTTGCAATTTAAGTATGTTATCCTCGGAAGACAAATAAGCTACAGCAGCCAGTTAGTGATGTTACCATGAAACAACAATTTCTGATTCTATTTTCTCATATTATAGTACTGGTCGATGCATTGTATTGCTAAATCCTGTGATTATATGTGTAACCAGCAGAATGACATAACTCTAACAAAATTGATCTTTCAATGGTTTTGTCTCAGCATCATCCAGTAACTTAGTAATTCCAAAGAAAAATCACTTCTACTGTATCAATTCTCCAAAGAAGAGAGCTATAGAGCTATATTTCTTAAGTTTCACCAGATTGGCCACATCTTGAAATTCTATTTGTATCCGAGAACACTAATTCAGCTGAGAAATCAAATATCATCCCCAGTAACATCAAAACATTGATACTGATAATTAGCGACAAAGATTGAAACTTACAAAGTCAATATAAGCCACATCACTGAGTCGCACCTCACATACATCACAAAAGACAACTGCTGCTGCGAAAAAGCATGGAGACTATCTGCTGCAGTTTGAAAAGAAAACATTACCATCAGCTATCTTAATACTTACAAGACACTTAGTACTTTTATTTTTTATTCAGCTTGTCATAAACTTAACACAAGAGGATCTATTCAAAATTTTATCTCTTAAGCTACGAAAAGAAAATGTCTGAAAAGGAGAAAATCACTAGGAATTGATGGCGATTGTAGCTGCTTGACAATTCGAAGGTCATCTCTTTGCACATATGCGGATCAATGTTGAGGAAGAGCGTGAGAGATTCTTGGTTAAAATCTCATGGAGATGCTCTCTCTCAATGTTTGACGTTTGAGAATTCGAAAGGTTTGAACTCTGAAGGGCCCATTGATATTATTTGGAAGAAAACAGCATTAATTTGGCGCAAAATGGGCCTTCATCTTCTAAGTATTTAAAGTGCCCAGGCCATCATCTTTTATTTTTCTTTTTCTTTTTCTTTTTTTATTTTTATTTTTATTTTTTGAATATAATAAACTTTAATGTTTTAAATACCAAATATTGCTTGAATTTCGAAATAAAGACCGTAAATAAATGCAAAAGATTATGTCCTAAAGGTAATTTTAAGAGATTGGATTACTTGATTAATTTGTTTAATTCTGAAGAAGGGAATTTTTTTTAATTTTTTTTTATTGATTGATAGATATAATAAGTTGAAGATGTAGTTTTTAATTTATTTTTTTCTGAAAATATTAAAAGATTCTAAATTTGGGTTGAAATCAGTTATCTTAAGAATATCATAAAATAGTATGATTTCTCATCATGTAAACTTTTATGTAAATGTATATATGTACTATTAGAATTTCGACCGACAAGGTCTTAAAAGATATATGAATTATTATAATCAAATACTTCTTATTTAACTAATTTTTAATTCTTTGACAGTCATTGATATTCAATTTGTTCTATAACTTATGTCTGTTTACCAAATATAAGTAAAAACTAAAATATTTGGCTTTTATCTAAATACAAAAACATTTTATATCAATTATTATTCCTTTGTCAACAGTATCCCTATTAAATTTATATAATTTTACATAAACCCTATAAAAATTTGTATTTTGGTCTTCTTTTATTATTTTTATATATTACATTAAACATTAGTTATTTATAATTTATATACATTTGTTTTTTTCTTCAAATTTGATAATTAAAATATAAAATTACATATATTTAATAAGGACAATGTTTTAAAACACCATTTTAATATGTTTACATATGTAAAGGCAAACAACTCAATATTGATCAAACATTTAAAAATAAAAACAACATATCGATCAATTTGTTATTTAAACATATTAACTAAAAGAGACATGAACCTTTTAGACAAAAAAAAAAAAAAAAAAGTATTTCCTTCTCAAACTTTCTTTTCATTTTAAACCAATTAAGATTGCTTACCCAAATGATAAAGACCAAGATAAATCAAACCAAAGTTTTGCTTTGATACTATTTAAGTTTAAGTGTTGTCCAAACAATTCCTTCATTCTTTTCTTTGAGCATATTTTTATTGTAAAATAGGAAATCTCTTCAATCTACAGCTATTTGTAATGATATAGAATAGTTAATAATCCATCATTTTAAGAATTAAACTTTCAACAAGCTACTCTTGAAGAAGAAGGAATGTATGCGAATTGTAGAAGGTCATTTAAGGAAGAATTTGAATGTTTTTGTTGGGAGAAAATGATCTTTACTCAAGGAATAAGTAAGTTTCCTTTACACTTTTAGTTTCACAATAACTTAGAGATCAAGTAATTTTTGTGTAAAATTTTGAGAATGACAAATTATATGAATCTTAAAGCAAAATTTTTGCAAACTCATGTTTTTCTCAGTTCTAGACTGAAAATATGGTATTGAAGAATTACTAATGAAACAAGATTGTTTCAACAGAATATTGCACTACATCAATTAAGCTTGCAAATTAATTAAATATAACATTTGGACTTAAATATTGCATTACAATCTATAAAGGTCGAAAATTAGTTGAATATAATAATATATGTATTTTATTTTATTTTTTTACTTAAATATTGCTTATAGATTCTAAAACACTAAATTTGTTGCCAAGATATGTAAAACATATAACTCTGGTTTAAAATTTAGTGATTATTTTATATCTATAAGCTAACATGGCCTCTATCAAGTTTCACCATTACTAGATATGATAATCAAGAAATCTATCATATACTAACATAATTTCATATTAGAGGATCTTATATGTTCAGATGGGCTTTAGATTGTATGGATTAGGCCCAAACACAAACTATTGGGCCATTATAGCTTGAGTTATTCAATTTATGTATAAGCTCACTGACTCAAAATTTCTAGACTGTTCACTCAATGGCAACTAGTTTGTTTAAAGGCTCGAGTTGGATGAGCATTGACAATGAAAGAGGCAATTCACAGTTCAAGTCCCAGAACCATGTTTCACATCACCTGAATAGAAACTGTTAATAGATTATATACATAAATTTTGGGGCTACCTGAGATGGTTCCTTTATGCATTAATAAACCTTAAACTACTACAGCTTGTTAGTTTCTCCTCTTATCCGTACTGCTTTACTCAGTCTGTTAACAGTGATTGAAGCCGTTGTTTTAAGAGAATGGAAACAATTTAACTATTAAAATTTGACATCATTACTTAATTTATTATAAATACATAATTAAGAAAAGAAAATAGAGTTGATAATGCATCCATCAATAAAATTATCTTGAATACTAATCACGAGTCAAAGGCCCATTTTAGACATTTGAACGGCTGCAACTTTAAACCCTTGATCTCAAGTTCCCTCTCCTTGCTTCTTACAGATAACCCTGGTTTCATTACTGGTCTGGATGGTGACGAACTTTACTGTGCTGATTTTCATGTCGGTAGGGTGAACCTGCATAATAACGGCAAATTGTACAGCGATTTGGCAATGGGAGAAGCAGTTTGAAAAAGTCTCACCAATCTTGGTATGTCTTCATCTTTTAACGCCGACGGATCTTCAATATGAACGGCAAATTTTATCTTATGTGGTTGACATAATATTAAATCACCTCATTTTATATCCATTCTTCAAAATCATATAAAAAGATGATGGCATTCTAGTCTTTTTACTATTATCAAACAAAAATCATTAACAGAACATGATAGAATGTACCTTTTATCGTTTCAAAATCTTTTGGGTACCAATTTATCGTTTCAGTAATCTTGGGTATGCGCAAGTTGTTCGGCCCACTTGAGATGAAAATTTTCATTAATTTTTGTAACTTAAGCAATTTCGTGAAATTTGTGAAAGCAAAATTGATTGATAACAGATAGTTCCTTAGGATATGAAGCCAAATTAAGTTATACTAAAACAATCTTTGAATTAATTTGTACACGTGATAGGACTCATATGAGTAGAAAAATATTTGTATGTGCTAGCTTTTTCAAAAACAATTGAATGGTGATGATGCATTATGGAGTACAATTGCTGAGATCAAGAGCCACTGTGTACTTACAATTTCGCATTCAAGTGGCTAAAATCGTGCTTACATAAGCTGATTGAAACGTTAGAAAATGGTCAATTTAACTCCGAATTGCATCAAACTTTCAGAAAATGGTGAATTTACTATTTATGTGAGATGGGATACTAAAATTTATAACAATTCACAAAATTATCAAGTCAACGTACAATTTTAAGACTGAAATATAAGACATCTTGCAATGTTATCCTGTGACGATAAACAAGCTACAACAACTAGGGATCTTACCATAAAACAATTATTTCGGATCCTATTTTCACCATGTGACACTTCAAGAGTGCTTGGCAAAGAGATGCTCTGCTATAGTATCAGTTCTCTGTTTTTCAAGAAAGGGGACTTCATCAATTTCTATCTTTAACGTTGTCATCTGATGAAGTTGGTTAGACAAAGACTTCAATTTGGGGCAAAATTGAAGGAATGACATCCTACCCAAAGAAAAGTCTCACATCCTACTAGTTAAAACAACACCCAATTAGGGATCATAGTGAATTTCCTAAACATAATGTCTTTAAATTTCTATTCCCAAAAACTCATTACCCACTCTTTTCACGCTCTTCATTCTAGTTATCAAAAGAATTTCAAGAGATGATAACTTACCCAAAGGAGGCAAATGCTCACAGTTTACACAATCCCTAAGATATAACCTTCTCAATTTAGTCAATGACATCATCCAATTAGGGAAAATAGTTTTGCCACTATAATTTACTAGCGCTAATGTCTCTAAATTTGGATGTGGTTGCAACTCATCAAGAAGTTGTTGATTTTGCTCGTCATTCATCCTTCCTGTAAAGTTTACCCTCGAAAAACGCAAGTTTTTCTTATTGTTTAATTCTATTCCCTTAACCTCATCCACGTCTCTCAAATTTCCCAACCCTTTTATTCCAAATTTTCGAAGATGTTTGAAGTTTTTTAGACATTCAACACAACATTCTTCACTACCATAATTGCCCTCACTTATAACAAATATTTCTAATGTTCGAAGACTAGTTAATCTCTCCAAACTTTTTGGCATGTAACTTATACTATCAGTCCCCCTATTTAACAAATGTCTCAAGTTGATTAAGTTTCCAATCCCTTGAGGCAGTTTTCTGATATTTTCACATCCAATTATGTCTAAGGTTTGTAAATTATATAACCCACATAATGTCTCAGGTAATTCTTTTATGTTTCTATTCCAAGATAAATCAAGGTATCTCAAGTGTATTAATTTTTTTATTTCTACAGGAACTTCTTCAATTGAGCACTTATTCAAAGATAATGACCTTAGACATGTAAATTGATCAACTAATTTGGACAAAACTATCTTGGGGTCAGTACCATAATTACAATCAACCACAAGACTACGTAGAAAAGTATTTCTAGTATAAATAGAGCTAGGAAATGAAGCCCCTCCTTGAATCTTTATCATTGAATGTCTAACTTTATCATAAGAAGATTCTAATTCAATTTCTTCTCTACTACCAACCTCTATTGTATAACATTCATTTTGGGTAAGAAATTGAGCAAAATCATGCACTATATCATGCACTTTACAAGAAAGTATATCAAATTCATGTTCCCTTTTTTCAAAATCTTGAAAGAAAGAACGCATTGCCAAAGATTTGAAATACTCTTCACCAACTAACTCCATATCCTTTTTTGAGTTTTTTGACTTTAAATAACCTTGTGCCATCCATAACTTAATCAATTGTTCTTTCTCTATCTCATAATCCTTTGGAAACATAACACAATATGCGAAACATTTTTTCAAAGTAGGGGGTAAGTCATAGTAACTTAATAGTAGAGGTTGAAAAACCTCTTGTTCTACCTCTTCTAATTCCCAAATTTCACTCTCTAAGACATTTTCCCATTCTTCAAATTCTCTTTTAAAACGCAAAAGACTACTTAAAGCCTTTACAGCAAGAGGCAAGCCTTTACACTTTTTAATAATTTTTTTACCAATTTCTTCAAACTCTTCATTAGGTTTTCCCAAAAATGCAAGTTGACAAAACAAGGACCAACATTCCTCCTCTGGTAGAATTCCTAGTAAGATTGTGTTGGTTGTTCCTATGGCATTTGCAACACTCTCCTTACGTGTGGTCACTAAAATTCTACTTTCTAGAGATCCACACTTGAGAGTACGTTTTAAATTTTCCCATTTTTCAAAATTTTCAGTCCATACATCATCTAAGACAAGAAGAAACTTCTTTCCTTCAATTTGTTGACTTATATTTTGCATTACAGTTTCTAATCCAACTAATTGAGATGGACTACTTGTGAGAGATTCAATGATTGCTTTTGCAATCTTAAGCTCATCGAAAGGCTCAGAAACACACACCCATATTTTTTTATCAAAATGGGTGTTCACCTTATCATCATTAAAAGCTAATCGAGCAAGAGTTGTCTTGCCAATTCCTCCCATCCCTACTATCGAGATTATGGGGAGGACTTGTTGTTGACTACTTTGACTCAAGAGCAAATCGACTAGTGAATTCTTATCTTTCTCTCTTCCACGAACCTCTGTTAAATCAATAGCAGAGGTAGCGATTTGTCGTTCTACTTCTTTACTACCCTCGATGATTGGTCTAAAGTGGAATCTCTCTCTCTCCACAGCAATAATATCAAGTTTTTTGTCAAGATCTTTTATCCTGATGCCAATGTCATAACGCATAACCAATGGCCTACAACCAAGATAGTGAAGAATGAAGGAACGTACCTTTTTCAGGGGATTAGAAGCATCTTCAGCTTTCTTTATCTTCAATTTCTGAAGCTTGGTGTTCCACTCATCCAACACATCGTCAATGTCATAAGACACGTCTTTCAGCTTGGTTAACCAAACTCTCACAGCGTTCTCCTTCACCTGTCGGTTCTCAGCATCAGCAAGCAGAGCAACAATTGGGTTTGATAATAATCAACAAAGAGAGGACCCTCCACTTCAGAAAAATTTATAAAAGTTTTGGCTCAGCCCTGTGACTTTGACTCATGCATTTAAGACTGATGAATTATTATACACGCAGTGGGGACCGTTGAGTAGAAAATATCTTTATGTGGTGGCGTTTTTAAAAATAATTGAACGGTGAAGACGTATTAATGGTGGTGACTGAGATCACAGCCATTTGTTCTTTACAATTTTGGAATTCAAGTGGGAGTGATATCATGGTGATGGGCTGAATCCGTGTTTACGTAAGCTGATTGAAATGTGATAAATGATCCACGCTTAACTTTGTTGATTTATCCCCATAGCATGGATTATCATTATTATTATTATCAAAATAGTGTAAATATATAATAAATAAAAAAAGGTTTAGGACTCAATATGTTCACTAAACTATGGTCTAAAAAAAATGAAATAATCACTTAATGATCCTAGATCAAGCGGCTTCATAAACAATCAAACTTAAATTTGATATCACAGCTCAAAAGTTACTACAACTTTTTTCTTTTCTTTTTTTCTGGGAAATTTCATATCAACTTGAAGTTTTTAAATTTGATATCACAGCTGAAAAGTACTACAAATTTAATCCTGAAGAATCTCTTCAATATATCACCAAGAAAAAGAGTTGAATGAACTTTAAAAATGAATGCCAAACTTCACAGCTCAAATCACCGAGTCAGAACCGTTAGTTACTATTGGTGCTCGATATTAAACATTCTTAACAAGATATGTATTGAGTCATAACTGTCTGTTGCAGCTTGAAAAGAAAGAAACAAAAGTGACTTTTGAGTATAATTTGTTACAAAATTATAGATACAAGAAAATGTAAGAGTCCCTATGGCCAGGTTACCTGGTCCAATTCACATCCAACAACATACATGCGCAAGCTGATGGAACCTCACCAGTTTTAAAACTGAAGTGGTGCCTGATATTCAACATTTCTTTTACAAGATGTCTCCAGTGAGAGTTTCCTGGTTGCTGCAGCTCCAAAACAAAACAATACAAAACTTTGGCATGAAATAACTTCAAAATAAATACACACGTCACACATTATGAAGTTATAATTCCACAGTAAGTGCAGAGGATGTTAAAACTGATTTTTGAGTATCATACTCAATAGTATTATATATGTTCCCTGTGGCCACTTTACCAAGTCCATTTCTCATCAACAGCATTAGAACCCAATTGCAATAGTTCCACAGTTTGGGAAACGCAATAATTTCTGTAGATGCGACATAGCATCACTCTCTATTCCCAAAAACTCATAACATTCTTTTCACATCTGTTAAAAGCTAATATAGAAAGAGTTGTCTTGCCGGTTTCTCCCCTCCCTACTACAGAGATTGTTGGGAGGACTGTTTGACGACAGGACTTAAACAAAAATTCTACTATTCGATTCTTCTCTTCATCTCTTCCATAAACCTCAGTTACATCAATGGCAAAGGTGGTCATTTCCATGCTACTTCTTTGCTACCCTTAGCAATGATTTAATGTTGAACCTCTCTCTCTACAGCAATAAATGTCTGGTTCTTACATCTAGATATTATCTTGACAGCAATGTCATAATGCAAAAACCAATGGTCTACAACTGAGATAGTAAAGAATGAGAGATCTTACCTTTTTCAGAGGCAGAAGCATTTCGAGCTTTCTTAATTTCTAATTTCTGAAGCTTTGAGTTCCACACATCCACACACATCGTCTATGAGCTTGTCTAACCCAACTCTCAAGCGTTCTCCTTCACTTGGCGGTCTCATATCATCAAGCACAGCTTGAATGGCCAGGAAATTGCTCTGAAGCTTCTCAACTTCTGGTCCAGCTCCTGAAATCAGCCTGATCCCTTCCTCTCTGTTGACGAGTGCTGAAGCCAGTTGTTTTAAGAGAATAGAAAATGAAAGGACGGTTCATAGTTCAAGTCCACAGAACCATGTTTCACATCAACTGAATAGAAAATGTTAGTAGATATACATATACTTTGGCCTTATTATAAATATATTGTTTGAGACTTCGAACCTGAGAAAGACAAAAGTTACTGAAACAGAACAGTTCCTTCATGAAAATGAGGTCTAGCTTACCATGGCTGGCTAGCGTTGCATGCAAGAAGTATCTGCAACTTTCTCTGGTGACCAAAAGCATTATTTTATTGGTTGAGTAGAAAATGCTATGATAATGTACATAAACTTCACTCTTTTATAATAATTATATGTTTGAAACTTCTAACTTGAGAAACATTGATTGAAACAGAGCAGTTTCTTCATGCCTAAAGATACTGCAATTTTTTTCTCATGACCAAAGCCATATTTTACTGTTGAAGCACACAACTATTGTAAAACAAAACTCTGTGGCCGGAAACTGCAATACATTATTATTTTTGTGAGATGGGATACATAGACTATGATACATTTTCACAAAGTTATCAAGTCAGCATACATTTTAAGATCGAAATATGAGACAATCTTGCAATGTCAAGTATGTTATCCTAGGAAGACAAGTAAGCTAAAGCAGCCAGCTAGGGATGTTACCATGAAACAACAATTTCTGATTCTATTTTCTCATATTATAGTACTGGTCGATGCATTATATTACTAAATCCTGTTATTTATAAGGTATAACCAGCAGAATGACATAACTCTAACAAAATTGATCTTTCAATTGTTTTGTCTCAGCATCATCCAGTAACATAGTAATTCACAGGAACAACAACAAGCACTCTCTAGTGTATCAATTCTCCGAAAGAGAGAAGCTAAAGAGCATACATTTCTTAAAGTTTCACCAGATTGGCCACATCTTGAAATTCTCTTTTGTATGCCAGAGAACACTAATTCAGCTGAGAAATCAAATATCATCCCCAGTAACATCAAAACATTGATACTGATAATTAGCGACAAAGATTGAAACTTACAAAGTTAAGATATAAGCCACATCACCGAGTCGACCTCACATACATCAACAGAAGACAAATTGCTCGAAAAAAGCATGGAGACTTGCTGCTTGACAATTCGAAGGTCATCTCTTTGCACATATGCGGAATCAACGTTGATGAAGAGAGTATGAGATTCTTGGTTAGAATCTCGTGGAGATGATGATGATGGTATGGGATCTCGAAAGTTGTTGAAGAAGAGGACATCCACTAATTCTCTTATCCAGTGTTTGATGTTTGAGAATTCGCAAGGTTTGAACTCCAAAGGGCCCTCCACTTTAGAAAGTTCGCTTCTAAGTATTTAAAGTGCCCGGGCCCATTATCTTTTTTTCTTTTCTTTTCATTTTTTCAATTTTCTCGGGAAAAAAAATCCCAGACTTTAATGTTTTAAATAACCAAATATTACTTGAATTTCGAAATAAAGACCGTAAATATATGCAAAAGATTATGTCCTTCTAAGGTAATTTTCATAGGTTGGAATTCTTTGACTAATTTGTATTAATTTATGAAGAAGGAATTTTTTTTTTTTTAATTGTTTTGATAGATATAGATAAAGTTGAAGATGTAGTTTTTAATTTTGTTTTGTGAAAATATTAAAAGATTCTAAAATTAGGGTGAAATTAGTTATCTTAAGAATGTCATAAAATAGTATAAGTTCTTGTCATGTAAACCTTGTATGTAAATGTATATACGTGTTACTGGAATTTTGAACGACCAAATCTTAAAAGATATATGATTTTTAGTTCTTTGACAATCATAGATTTTTAATTTAGTTTTTAACTTATGTCTGTGTACTAGATATAAGTAAAAAACTAAAATATTTAGCATTTATCTAAATACAAAAACATCTTAGTCGATAATATTGTTTTTTTTTTTTATTTGTCAACAATATCCCTTATAAATTTTGTATTTTTGGTCTTCTTTTATTTATTTTTATATATGACATTAAACAATTAGTTATTTATAATTTATATACATTTGTTTTTTTTTTTATTTTCATAAATTTGATCATTAAAAAAAAAACATGTAAAATATAAAATTACATTATATTTAATAAAGACAAATGTGTCAAAACATCATATTTAAGATGTTTACTTATATAAAGTCAAACAACTCAATACTTATAATCAAATATTAAAAAATAAAAAACGAACATATCAATTAGACTTATATATTTAAATATATTCAACTAAAAGATACATTAAACTTTCAGATAAGAAATCTCTTCAATGTACAAGATATTTGTAATGATGCAAGAATAGTTAAAATAATCCAATTCATTTTATGAATTAAACTTTCAGCAAGCTACTCTTGAAGAATGAAAGAATGTGATGCAAATTGTAGAAGGCCATTTAAAGGAAAGAATTTGAATGATTTTTGTTTGGAGAAAATGATTTTTACTCAAAGAATGGTTGTGTTTATTTCCTTATTCATATCCTATCATATTCAAAATACATGTTTGTTTCACTATTTTCAAAATTCAATCATATTTTATTCAATTCAAAATATTTAGAATTTTTTAAACTATTAGGTTTGTTAATTTAACTAAACATTCTCAACCAGTCGGTTGTATGTTATTTTGGCAACTTCCAACCACCCTCTGATGGTGGTAGTCAACTGCTGACATTTAATGGGTGAATGAAGGTTTTTTTTGTTAATTTTAAAACTTTTATTGTAAATGGTGTTTGACTTAATTAACAAATGTAGAGAATTAAAAAATAATTTTACCAAACACATTTACAAATTCAAATATTATCCTCGTAATAATAACCAAACTCAACTTTTTTAAAAATACTATTCAAAATTATAAAATAAACACCCAGTTTCCTTTAGACTTTTAGCTTTACAATTACTTAGAGATAGAAGTAACTTTTGAGAAAAATTTTGAGAATGGCAAATTATATGAATCTTAAAAAGCAAAAGCTCTGCCAAAATCTCATGTCTTTTTCTATTCTCTGTCTTTTCTATTCTAAGACTAAAATACGTGGCCTTAAAGACCTACTGTCTGAAAACAAGGTTGTTTCAAACAGAATATTGCACTACACTCTATAAAGTTTGCAAATTAGTTAAATAATAACTTTTGGACTTAAAATATTGCATTACAATCTATAAAGCTTGAAAATTAGTTGAATAATAATAATAATAATAATTTTTTTTTTACTTAAAATATTGCTTACAGATTCTCCTTATGGTTAAAACAGTTAAAATTTGTTGCCAAGATATTAGTAAAACATATAATTCTGGTTTAAAATTTAGTGATTATATTATAATCATACAAGCATTAACACGGCCTCTATCAAGTTTCACCATTGCTAGATGATGAATAATTCATTTATGTAATAGAGAAATAACCAAGAAATCTATCATATACATTAATATAATTTCAAATTAGAGGACCTTAGTATGTTCAGATAGGCTTTAGAGTTATGGATTAGGCCCAAAGACAAACTATTCGGCCATCATAATCCTTTAGATTATTCAATTTATGTGTAAGCTCAGTGACTCAAAATTCCTGGACTGTTCATTCAATGGCAGCTGGTTTGTTTAAAGAGACCGAGTTGGATGAGCATTGACAATGACAGAGGCAGTTCACAGTTCAAGTCCACAGAGCCATGTTTCACATCACCTGAATAGAAAATGTTAGTAGATTTTATACATAAACTTTGCGGCTAACTGAGATGGTTCCTTTATGCATTTTAAAACTTTATAATTTTATATTGTTATTTTCAAGGATTAAACTTTTAACAAGCTATTCTTGCAGAGAGCATAATTACATATATAAGTGTAGAGGGCCAATTAAAGGTAATATTCTGACTGATTTATGTTGGGAGAAGATCTCTACGCAAACAAGAAGTTTTAGTTCTGACCATGCCAAGCAGCTGCCGAAATGGATATCGGAAATCAGAGATCTAACTCACTAACATAAAAGGCATTTTCTGGGAGAGTCAAAAACAGAGTGAGAATGCCATAAAAATGCTCTTGCTGGGAGAGTCATAAACAGAGGAGAATGTTATGAAGATAGTTGCAGAATTGTTCATTCAATCAAATTTAGATATTTGATCAATACTTATCATTCAAATATGGCATTAATAATATTTGGCTGAGATGAGATGAGAGCATTCATTTTCTTTGATACCAAGTAGCTTGAATGGTCTGCAGATTGCTGGTGAGCTTTCCCTCTTGGTTAGTGAAACCAATTGCCTCAAGACAATGGAGACGAGCGTTTTAGTCAATCTTATCTGTACCAAATGTTTCAGTTGTTAACGTACCAAATATTTCTTCAAGCAAAAACAATTCTCTTATCCTCTTCTTTCATCCTTTGATGCATGTTAATGTATTTAATTTCTACAAAACTGTTTTAGTCATATTTGATATCTCCTAGAAGATCTACTGATTTTTCTTTTTATAAACTCCCCTGTTTTTCTATGTATCAAAACCATGGAAAGTTTCAACTTCAATTCAACTTAAAAATTCCAATGAAAGTAATTTATTGGTGTCTCTCAATCTTTCTTTTTCCAATGTGTTAATCAACCCAAAAGAAACAAGAAATTTCAGTTCAACATCCAGTTCACTTTTGCATAACTAAAAAGGAACGTAGCTTCCAACAATTCGTTTTCTTTCTTGAGTGAATATAATTAAAAGCCACAAATATATGCAAAAAATTAAAGATCAATGACACCCAAATTTTTACGTGGAAAACCTCCCGATGTGAGGAGTAAAAACCACGGGACCGTAGTCCGATTAAAGTCTTTCATTATCACCAAAATGGGAATACAAAGGCATACAAACATCATAAACTTCACAAAACCAATAACAACAATCTCAGCAAAAATAGGAACAAAATATCAAAATTTATGAAGAGAATAATCCCAAAAGACACAAAAACTGCAGTTTCGGGTTTACCCACAATTAACTGCCTTACAGAACGATCGGACAGCAAACGAGCTCCATGTCACGATTTGATGATGCACTGTTCACAGACTCAAAAAATCATATTTCCTCTCCATTTCTCTTTGTTTTTGCCCCTCTCTCAAATATATACGGTGGTGGAAAGAAGCTGGATGGTGGCTGGCATAGAAGGGGCAGCAGCTGGAGCAGAACACACTCTACCTCTCTTGTTTTCGGCTGCTACATGATGAAAAAGAAGATGAAAATAAGCTTGGCTTCGGGCCTAATATGTTGGGCTTCATACCTCCATATGGGAGGGAACGAAGTAAAGCCCAACTCAACATGTTGTAAAGTTATCAATTCATGTAAATTAGGGGAAACTAATTGCTTTATATAGCTTTGAGGATATATAAATATATATACGCACCATTCAGTCAATGAATGCCGATAGAGATGACAAGGAGGTGCCTTTTTTCATTGAGACCATTAATTGCACTTATTCTTGCAACGAGTAACTGCTTTCCTTTGATATTGGATGCTCCATCTTATATGCTCAACTATTGTCTGTTCGCATTTAGGATATGTTGTCCGAGAAGCAGATTCAGAAACACAGAGATACAGAAAGCTCAATGTCAAGCAGCTAGCTGGGTTTTGAGACGGGATACATTATGCCCACTCGAGACTGCTCTTGCTATAAATCGTAGCTTTTATCCCATTTCACCATCCATATGCATGCTTTACCACCACTCTCTGGATTTAAATCGTTGCAAGACCAGGTTCCTGGCTATGCAGTAGATGCTGTTTGAGAAGTTCACAGTAAACAGAGTGATGAAAATTTGATAAAATAAAGGGGTTGGCATTGCTAAAGTAACTCACCGAAAAATAAACATTCAATTTGACTGGGCACATGTTTGTGTCTACGTAGTACATGCTGCTTCAGAACTGAAGAAATGGAGACTTGTCACATCTTGTTGCCATATGGTATGTATCTCCTTCAGAAGATACCTTGTGTTCCTGAGATAACATGACAAAACTTTAGAAGGAGATTAACAGTTACCATGACAGAAAAATCATTTAATCTTGTATTTTAAGCAACACAGTTTTTGCTACTTTGGAAACATGATCTGAAACATGTCTACAGAAATGCAGACATGAAATGGATTTCTACTTTCAAAAAAGGACTTGAAAGCTTCATTCTTTACAGTAAACAAAAGAATATGACTTAACGAAAAAAACATACAGAGCAAGTGTCATATATATAACATTGATTTCTAATAAAAGGGAGACTCTGCCAAAAAAAAAAAAAAAAAAAGAAAACACCATTGAAAACAAAGTACCCATGTAAAAGGATTCTGCCAAATAATCATTCACAGGACTCTTCATACAGGCAGCCCTTGCTGATAATAGTTAGGCTGAAATTCCGGGCTGAGATGCTTGATTAGATAACACCTTGGTTACTTCCACAAAAGGCTGAATATATATAATCAGTCAAAAACTAGATAGAAAAGATGATAGAATCAAAAAGATTAAAATATGTTTCTCTTTCCAATGAGCAACATGAAATTTCATTCAGAAATTTTTTTTCTAGTAAATTACAAATAACAACTAACTGCTTTAACTACTTCTCTTACCTACTTGCAATTCTCCTATCTCATTCATGCTTTTGGGCTCCATGGTCTGCTAACCTGTAACATCATGACCCGAGTATGAATATCTCACGTATAGGTATTCTTAAAGCAGAATTGACTATCTCTGACTCTGAGCCAAAAAAAAAAAAAAAAAGGTGAAATACCTAAAAATGGTCAGGAAGTCATCGATAGGTCCTTTAATGTAGCCAAAACTGCAGATGTGAAATTCAAGGTTAAGATGCATTGATAACTTGTTGATTGCATTTATAGCTGCGCTGTCTTAATCTACTCTATAGCCTGCAACAATCAGAGAAAGAGAAAGGCTTAGCCACAGTTACCGAACCAACACCTATGTATGATAAAGCATTAGCCAATAGCCAATGAAGCTTAATACCTTCAGTTGCAAAGTAATGGCAAAAGTAGTGAAACCTTTAAGCCAATTTGGACACTCCACAAGAACAATGATTGTGATCCATCAAAAGAACTCACTAGGAAAACTTCCCACATAAGGCATCAACGATTCTGCCAAAACCATCTCCGTCACATAAGAGTAAGCAACTATTTTCCCCGATTCTGGTCATCACTCTACACGTCATTTTGAAAGGCCATTCTCAGCGGCATGCAGACTTTACAAATAAATGTTATATTCAACTGGATCAGAAAGAAATTCTCTAAAATGAAGGGTGAATTTTCAAAGTGTTACATATTGCTTGATAATGTTTAAATCAATTATTAGCAAGTGTTATGGTCTCCCTAATTCCATAGTATATTTTTTTAATGACGACGAACAAGATTCATTGTTCTCCAACCTTGACAATGACAACTTTTGTTGCAAAAGAACTAAAGTGTGACAATTCATGAATAGTTGCCTTGGGGAAACTAGTTTAGAAGTGTTAATAAGAAACAGGTTGATATTAAAAGATAAAATCAAATAGCAATATGAACTAAATAATCAAACATAGAAACAAGACAAGAGAGAATGTTTTATGTGGTTCGGTCAATATATCTAAGGCTGTTGGTTTCACTATACCAAGTAAAACTTATTTACGAGGCACACCCCTTGCAATAGCTTAGAATCCCAAATATATCCACTCTCAAGCGACAATCAATCCTATAGAGACTATGCATTTCTCCACTCTCGAGCGACAATCAATCCTATAGAGACTATACATTTCTCCGCATAAAATAAGCCAGCACTTGCATAAGCTTATAAAGAGGAAAAACAAACGTGTCTTTAGTGAAGAATTTGCCAAATTTGAACCAATATTCAACTGCTTCTTGGTTTCATGACACAATTTAAGCAATATTTGTAAGTTAATGAACCCTCTTCAGCAAATATTAATCACTACAAATTAATGCTGAGAAGCCTTGTTTCTCTTTAAGATGTAATTGCTATCTTATCTTCAATATACTTCAAACTTCTTGATGACATACATACAACATCAATGTAGTCAAACTGAATAGTTAATTTTCAAGAGCATCTTGTCACCATGATGTAATTCTATAAATGACAACCAAAAAGTGACGGGATAAGTCTTCAGAACAAACATTATTTGTTTTCCAGATTAAAGATTGTTGCTTAGATTACAAATGACAACTAAACCAGAAACAAATGGCGAAGAAAGTACCTGTTGCACAGATGCCGTTGTGTAGACAAAAAGAAAAAGGAGCTAATTCTACCAAGCTTGTCTGGTACACTATTGCTTGACATTGATTCTTGAAGAAAATCTTTACATGTTGAACTTGATTTACTGCATCAAGTGCGAGATATCAAAAAGTTTCAATGATAGGAAAAATGCCTTCCAATTACTTAATAACCATAAGATATCTGGAACAAACCATCATCAGCATAAAAGAAATTTGCTTGCTAGGAAAGGAGCTATAGCTATCATAACCTGCAGAAATGTCAACAATAAGTTAAAGTCTAATTATAAAATGTTTATCATCTCAAAGCTGCTCTGCGGAAATGCTCTGTTCTAACTTATTTTCAAAAAAAAAAAAAATTAAATTCTCTCCTATAAGTTGGTCCACTATTGTGATTTAGGAGTTGCTTAAGACTAAATTTAATAATTCATGAAAGTAATGAGTAACGAGTTTGTGATGTAAAACATGCTGATCAAGTAAATTAATTGAACAGCAGCTAATTAAAGATCTTACTCTTACCTTAAAAAGTCACACCATCTAGTCACTTGTTCTATTTTGTCTTTCATGTCACAAACAGCTAAATCAGTCAACAAATCAAGTAACTATTCCTACAACATTTAATTGTGATACGTAGGGAGAATAACAAAAATGTACAAAAATTTAAATGCCGGTTATAAAAAAAATACTATTAGTCCAATTACTTATGCATCACGCTTAAGAAAACCATGCATAGAGATTAAATGGAGCTTTGTCACACCTGCTTGTATGAGATCCGAAAACAGAACATAGCATGAGATAATTTCCAAAGGATAGTAATCAAAGGAATGATGACACCACGATAAAAGAAACGTAATATGCTGCTAATGGAACTAGCTTTTGTTCCAAGGTAGTTGTATGGACAAAGATTTGGAAAACTTTTTGTGCAAACGAAGATTTATTTAATGAAAGAAGAATGCTACTTGTAATTAAATTTCAATGTAGTGCTGCTAGTTCATAGCATATTTTTAAATTATTCCAAATCTCTAACAGAAATTTCTGAACTCAATTGCTTGGAGAAAAGCTATTTTTGGTTGAATCATGAATGGCGCCATTCTTGCTGTAGCTTAGGTTCCGGCATCAAAAACCATGAGCTGACATCCATAATCAAGCTAAAAAAGCCCATGTGATGATGCTAGTTATAATATTATAAAAATGCTTATAATAAAATGAAAAAAACTGTTGAGTTTGCATTACACAACAAGAAGCTAAAGAGAAAATCGCTGCATTGACAGATGAAAAGAAACTAGGATGCGCTATGGAGAAATAGTTTGGTTTTCTGGTAGAAAGTGATGCTACTATAGACCAAAAAAAAAAAAAATGGTTGATAAAATTGTCCAGATTCAAGATTATATAAGAATTCCTATGGCTAAATTACCTATTCCAATTCGGATCCAACAACAAAACATAACGATTGCCTCAAACTGCAATAGTGCCGAATATTCAGCACTTCTTTCACAAGATGTCTCCAGCGTAGGATTTCCTGGTTGGTGCAGCTTGAAAACAAAAAAACTTAGCATGATATCACTTTAAAAAAACAACAGAAAGTCATATTAATGAAAATGAAGTAATAATGATCAAAATTCTCTTGAAAATAGGATGTAAGACAAGATTATGAAGTTAAAAATTTCATTCTAAGTGCAGGGGAAGTTAAAGAAAGAAGAACTCAAAAGATAAGATGATAATGCACCAAAAGAAGAACTGCTGTATCTGCCCCCCTTGGGATCCTTGAAGACAACATATGCAATTTGAGACCCCTCATTGCCACTGAAAGAAAAAATAATAATCAAAATAATATAAGATTATATGGGAACCTTAGTATTCTTTCTTCCATATAATTATATCCAAAATATCCTCAGAAAGAGTTAATCATTTCAAATTTCGCATTTTCTCTTTTTCCAAGCAACCACAAAAAATAATAAAAGATAAAGGACAGTAATAAAACTTAGATTTCATATATAACAAACCTGTGCATCTCAACATGTTCAATTTCCCCAGAAAAGGAAAAGAAGTCCTTTATAGCTTGCTCAAATGCACCTAATGAAACATTGCTCACTTTCACTGTTCTTATCTGTCATGACAAAGAACATCACAAAGGCAAAACTGTCAACGAATGCACATATAATTATAAATGTTAACACTGAAACTACAGATACAGAATATGGGTCAATATGTTGTGAATGCATTACCACTTGTACAACATGAATGCAACTAGCACAAAATAACTACATTAACATAAAATGAAAACATGCAAAAGACCAGCTTAATTTTAACAATCATGAAGAAGAGTATATAAGCTATGAAGTATTCATACCGAGAACCATCCACTAATTTTTTAAGGCCTACTAAGCCACAATTTAAAGTGAACTCCGACACTTGTGACTTGTAACATTGAGTATCAACTTGTCACAAAATATATCTAATGAATTGAGATTCAATGATACAAAAAACATGTTTTAGCTGTTTTACTGCCATCCCAGTAACATAGTATGCTCAACGTCTTATTTCTTTATTTGTATCATGATTTGAGTAATCCAATTCACTCAGTTTACTCACCATATGCAAACGATAGACCTCCAATTGATTTTTTCTAATAAATATTTCATTTTCCAGATTCAATTAAAAAATAATAAAATTAAAAAAGAGAGCACAACTACATTTACATACCAACCAAAACTCAGAGAAAGAAACAGAACATGTTGAATGACAAACTAACTATACATTTCAAGATTACAGTACAAAGTCACAGGAGAATTAATTTCGAATAAATTTAAAAAAAATAAAATAAAACGAAAAGAAACTAGGATGTGCTATGGAGAAATGATTTGGTTTCTGATAGAAAGTGATGCTAATATAGACAACAAATAGATGATAAATTGGTCCAGAATCAAGATTGTATAAGAATTCCTATGGCCAAATTACCTAGTTCAATTCCGATCTAACAACAAAATATAACAATTGCTTAAAACGGCAATGGTGCCAGATATTAAGCAGCCCCGATTACTGCAGCTTGAAAACAAGAAGAAAAAAAACTTTAGCATGATATCACTTTAAAAGAACAACACAAAGTCACATTAAGAAGTAATAATGACTAATATTCTCTTGAAAATAGGATGTAAGACCAGATTATGAAGTTAAAAATTCCATACTAAGTGCAAGGGATTTTAAAACGGAACAATGTTTATTTTGTGGTAATTGATAAATGTTTATAGTCAGAGAAAGACCAAAGGAATCTTTCACTTAGTGAGAGCAATAATTTGGTTTGATAATAATCAACAAATGGAGGAGCATAATCGACCGTCCACTTCAGAAAAATTGAAGCTAAGACCTGAGAGATGTTGGTCAAAACTAGATGTTTTACCTTTAAGGAGAGAAATTACCTATGGATTGATAACGATTGTAGCATTTTGTGAATTCAAAGGTCATCCCTTTGCAGTATCAAAGTTGAAGTTCAGACGTAGAGAGGTGTTGGTAAAAACTGGAGGAGGTGACGATGAGCTCTCAATTCACTCAAGTTCTTTCGAGAACATAACACAACTAATTTCTGATTCAAAACAAATAAATTAAAAGGGAAAAGAGAGGAAATTGCCTGTAGTTTGAAGGGAGATCGGTGATGAAGTTGATATTTTCAGAGAACTTAATCAGTATCAGAGGGAGATGACGATGAGCAACCGATTCTCTATCTAATTTCCTTCGAGAAGAGGACAAAAACTTATTTCCTTCTTCAACGTTCTCATCTGATGAAGGTGGTTTGGCAGAGACTTCAATTTGCGGCAGTCATAGAGTTCCAAAGTCTGAAGAGATGGCATGACTGGAATATCTTCATCTTCTCTCTTTGTACTCCCGTAATTCCACTCTTCCCATTCTTTCGTGTCCCCGAAGCGTAGATATTTCAGTTTGGGAAACGCAATCATTGATGAAGATGCTGACATGGCATCACTCTCGATTCCCAAAAACTCATTACCCACTCTTTTCACACTCTTCATTCCCCATATCCAAAGAATTTCAAGTGATGATAACTTACCCAAAGGAGGCAGATGTTCACATTCTACACAATCCCAAATAGTTAACTTTCTCAATTTGGTCAATGACATCATCCAATCAGGGAAAATAGTTTTGCCACTGTAATTATCAAGCCTTAATATCTCCAAATCTGGATGTGGTTGCAACTCCTGAAGAAGTTGCTGATTTTGCTCCTCATTCATCCTCCCCTCAAAGTCTACATACAAATCACGCAAGTTCTTCTTATTGTTTAATTCTATTCCCTTAACCTCATCCACATCTCTCAAATTTCCCAACCCTTTTATTCCAAATACTCGAAGGTGTTTGAAGTTTTTTAGACATTCAACACAACATCCTTCGCTACCATAACTGCCCTCACTTATAACAAATCTTTTGAATGTTCGCAGACCAATTAATCTCTCAAAACTTTTTGGCATGTAACTTATACTGTTAGTCCACAAATTTAACAAATGTCTCAAGTTGATTAAGTTTCCAATCCCTTGAGGTAGTTTTTTGATATTTTCACATTCCCTTATGTCTAAGGTTTGTAGATTATATAACTCACACAATGTCTCAGGCAATTCTCTTATGTTTCTATTCCCAGACAAATCAAGATACCTCAAGTGTATTAATTTTTTTATTTCTATAGGAATTTCTTCAATTGAGCAAAATTCCAAAAATAATGACCTTAGACATGTAAATTGATCAACTAATTTGGACAAATCTATCTTAGGGTCAGCACCATAATTACAATCAACCACAAGGCTACGTAGAAAAGTATTTCTAGTATAAATAGAGCTAGGAAATGAGGCCTCTCCTTGAATCTTTATCATTGAATGTCTAACTTTATCATAAGAAGATTCTAATTCAATTTCTCCTCTACTATCAACCTCTATTGTATAACATTCCTTTTGGGTAAGAAATTGAGCAAAATCATGTACTATATCATGCATCTTACAAGAACGTATATCAATAACATATTCCTCTTTTTGAAAATCTTGAAAAAAAGAATGCATTGCCAAAGATTTGAAATACTCTTCACCAACTAACTCTATATCCTTTTTTGAGTCTTTTGACTTTAAATAACCTTGTGCCATCCATAACTTAATTAGTTGTTCCCTGTCTATCTCATAATCCTTTGGAAACATAGCACAATATGAGAAACATTTTTTCAAAGTAGGGGATAAGTCATAATAACTTAATAGTAAAGGTCGAAAAACCTCTTGTTCTACCTCTTCTAATTCCCAAATTTCACTCTCTAAAACATTTTCCCATTCTTTAAATTCTCTTTTAAAACGCAAAAGATTACCTAAAGTCTTTACAGCAAGAGGCAAACCTTTACACTTTTTAACAATTCTTTTACCGATTTCTTCAAACTCTTTATTGGTTGTTTCAAAAAGTGCAAGTTGACTAAACAAAGACCAACATTCATCCTCTAATAGTATTCCTAATAAGATTTTGTTGGTGGTCCCAATGACATTTGCAGCACTCTCCTTACGTGTGGTTACTAAAACTTTACTTTCTAGAGATCCACACATGAGAGTATGTTTTAAATTTTCCCAATTTCTACGATTATCAGTCCATACATCATCTAAGACAAGAAGAAACTTCTTTCCTTCAATTTGTTGAGCTATGCTTTGCATTACAGTTTCTAATCCAACTAATTGAGATGGACTGTTTGTGAGAGATTCAAGGATTAGTTTTGCAATCCTAAGCTCATCAAAAGGCTCAGAAACACACACCCATATTTTTTTGTCAAAATGGGTGTTCACTTTATCATCATTAAAAACTAATCGAGCAAGAGTTGTCTTGCCGATTCCTCCCATCCCTACTATAGAGATTATGGGAAGGACTTGTTGACTACTTTGACTCAAGAGCAAATCAACTAGTGAATTCTTATCGTTATCTCTTCCCCAAACCTCTTTTAAATCAATAAAAGAGGTTGTCATTGGTCGTTCTTCTTTTTTGCTACTCATAGTAAATGATCTAAACTGGAACCTCTCTTTCTCAGTAGCAATAATATCCAATTTTCTATCGAGACCTTTTATCTTAACTGCAATGTCATGACGCAGAATCAATGGCCTACAACTTAGATAGTAAAGAATGAGGGAACATACCTTTTTTAGAGGATTAGAAGCATCTTCAGCTTTCTTAATCTTCAATTTCTGAAGCTTGGTGTTCCACTCATCCAACACATCATCAATGTCATAAGACGCGTCTTTTAGCTCGTCTAACCATACTCTCACAATATTATCCTTCACCTGGCGGTTCTCAGCATCAGCCAGCACAGCTTGAATTGCCCGGAAATTGCTTTGAAGGTTCTGAACTTCTTGCTTAGCACCTGCAATCAGACTTATCCTTACTTCTCCCTGTTGACGAATGATTGAAACAAATTGTTCCAACACAATCTCCACAAGCGCTTCAGCCATATTGAAAGATGTAACGTAATTGATGAAAACAGAGACTGAGAAATTGAAATGGTTGGTGTGTTTATTTTTGTGGTAACTGATCAATGTTTATAGTCAGAGAAAGACCAAAGGAATCTTTCACTTCAACAAATTTTCGGTGAGAGCAATAATTGGCTTTGATAATAATCAACAAAGGGAGGACCCCCCACTTCAGAAAAATTTATACAAGTTTTGGCTCAGTCCTGTGACTTTTGAACGGTGATGATGCATTGATGGTGGTGAGATCACAGCCAATTGTTCTTTACAATTTTGAAATTCAAGTGAGGTGATTGAAACGTGAGAAATGGTCAATTACTTCAAAATGGCACCAAACTTTTCGAATGGAGTTTTGAATTCTTTTTTCAGTATTACTGGAAGAGTGATGCTATGGGTACTAACGGATGAGTACTAATCTGTGTACTAACTAAAATATAGTACGGGTACCATACGCATAGTACGGGTACTATGTGTGATTTTAACAAAGGTTAGTACACTAGTTAGTAAAATCCGTTAGTACGCAAAGTATTATTCTTACTGGAAACATTTTTTTTTTTTTTTTTTTTTTTAATCATTGAACGTCAGCCAAGGTTTTGCTTTAGTACTAACCAACAAAGGCAGAGGTTAATCAACTTATAAATTTTGCTTTAACTTTTTATAGTGCCCTTTACTTTTTTATTTTTATTTTTTCTTTTCTTTTGAAATTTTGCTTTAACTTTTTATAGTTTCCTCTACTTTTTTTTTTTTTTTAATCAACTCATGAATTTTAAACATATATTTTTTTATAGGAATTCTAATAAACTTTTGACAGAGAGAGTTAATTGTTGCACTAATTGAAGTGATGATGTATTAAATATTAATGGAGTACAAATGGTTAGATTACAGCCTTTTGTTGTTTACAATTTTGGAATTCAAGTGGGGGTGATATCATGGGTTAAATCCTTGTTTATGTAAACGGATTGAAACGTGATAAATGGTCAATTGCTCCAAATTGCACCAAACTTTTAGAAAATCAAATGGATCGCATGGTGCCACATCCTCTGCATCATCTAGAAAATTATTTTTATTATATTAACATACATCTTAAACTTTATGCCAACCCAAGATTTAGAAGCTATGTTTGCGAGTTTCGAGATTTCTAGTTGACTGACTACAAAATTGTTGATTTCAAGTATTTGTTTCTTAAACTTTCTTTTTGTATACCTTAAAAAAATGTATGATATTGGTTTGAAATTTAATTATTCTGTTCACTAACCTATTGTCTAAAAACAAATGAAATAAACTAACCAATAATATAAAGAAAGACTAAAGAAACCTTTCACCTGGTGACAGCAATAATTTGGTTTAATAATAATCATTATTATTCAACAAATGGAGGAACATAATGGACCCTCCACTGGAGAAATTTTTGCTTTAGAACTAATCGACAAAGGCAGACGTTAATGGGTCCTTCACTTTTGGAATTTTGCTTTAACTTTTTGTAGTGCTCCTTACTTTTTTTTTTTTAATTAAACATAGATTTTTTACATGATTTTTTTGTTTTTTTTTTTTGGGTGGATTCTAATAAACTTTTGACAAGAGTTAATTTTTGCATTAATTGAGGTGATAGGCAAGAATGGAGTACAAATGGTGAGATCACAGCCATTTGTTCTTTACAATTATGAAATTCAAGTGCGGGTGATATCACGGGCTGAATCCGCCTTTACATCAGTTGATTGAAATGTGAGAAATGATCGCATGTGCCCGTCTGCATCATCTACAAAATTATTTCCATTATGCTATATACATCTTAAACTTTACAGTTAGAGGAAGACAAAAGGAATCTTTCACGTGATACTGCTTCAGAGTGGCAGAGCTCAAGGGAACCAAAGGGAATTATTATAGTTACAAAGGACCAAAACTTTTTATAGTATCAAAGCAAAACTAGTCAACAAAGGCAGGCTTAAAGGTTTTCCTGGCCCCGTCTTCCAAAAATTCGCTACAACTTTTAAGAGTGTTAGAGAATCTTCATCTCTTTCTCCCCAAACTCAAGTGGTTCAGCAGCAGTAGTTTCAACAAACTCACGATTCTGCTTTGTCTCCACAGATCTCCTCTAATTAGTTTAACATTCAAAAGTTTGTTCGATCTCTTCCTTGTATTTAGACATCTCTCTTTTAGTAAAAGAGTTCATCTCTCATGTATATATTGACCAAACTTGTAAATCAAATATACAATCAATATTTTATACTCTCTCCTTGTTAGAGAGTACCCCTTCATTTTCGGAAACTGGGGTTCCCTTGTACCTACTGTCGGCCACATTTAAATAAAAGACCATGGAAAACCCCTGTTTTCTCCTTTGTTATGAGACTTGGAAAAGATGTAGGGTCGGTGGATTAATTTAGTGATTATGATCATTAACTTACTCTTTAACAGGTCTCGATATTGCTGAATGTTTGGGCTTTTCAATAATTTCCAAATTCAAGTTCCGAGGTCTTTTCTCGATATTACTCCAAATTGCACCAAACTTCGAGAAAATCGCATGGTGCCCGTTGTCCGCCATCATCTTTGAAAATTATATACATTATATTATGTACATCTTAAACTTTATAGCAACCCAAGATTTAGAAGCTGTGTTTGCGAGTTTCCAAGATTTCTAATCGAATGACTACAAATTTATTGATTCCAAAGTATTTATTTTTTAAACTTTCTTTCGAATTGTTCACCCAAATGTATGAATTATGATACTGGTTTAAAATTTAGTTATGGGAGAACGATAATTTCCCACCCAAGGTTTGGTAAAACAACACTTTCCCACCCTTTAAGTTTCAAAATTACACTTTTCCTCCCTTTGCTAGGTTATGTTATTTTTTCGGTTAATATTTTACTAAAAAAATAAAAATACCCTTAAATATTTGGCTTTATAATTTTTTAATTAGCCAAAAAATCAAATATTAAAAATTCAGAAAAAGAAAAAATAGTTAGTTCCACCTAACAAGTTAGAAAATAATGTTATGGTATTGTTTAAAGTTAAATAAGCTTAACATTTATTTATTTATAATGTCATCAATATCACATCACTATTATTCGATAATCTACTAAATTTGTAATGTTTTTCATTTTTACTAATAATTTTCATTTTTACTAATTAACATAGAAAATCAATAGTCCTAATTAATTAAATAAACAAAGAAAAAAAGATATCTTTACACTTAAACTAATAAATAATCGAGTAAAGATTTTGACTTAACTAGATTTTAATTTATAATAAACTATTTAAGGGTATTTTTGTCTTTTTAATAAAATATTAACAGAAAACACTAACAAAGCCTGACGAATGGTGGAAAAGTATCATTTTGAAAGTTGACGGGTGAGAAAGTGTCATTTTCCCAAACGTTGGGTGGGAAAATGTGGTTCTCGCTTTAGTTATTATGGTCACTAACCTATGGTCTAAAAAGAAACGAAATAATTATTTAATCGACTCTTAGATCAAGCAGCTTCATAAACAATCAAGGGTGCGTTTGGTTTATTATTTTGGATAGGATTTTGGGGATAATATTGAATAATTGAATATGAGAGTATTACGAGGTAAAATTTCAAAATTTATAAAAAAACCCCCTAAGTTTGCTAATTTAATAAATACACCCAACATGTAAAATGACAAAAATACCCCCACCACCTGCAGTGCCAGATTCTGGCCACCACCGTCGGAATCTGACCGGAAAATTGCGTTACAACACAGACCGGTCGGATCTGTTTTTGATAATTTTTAAACTTTTTTTTCAGGGTGTATTTGATGAAATTAATAACCTTATGGGGTATAAAAGTAATTAAAAAAATAGGGTAATATTTCTAGAATAATATGTCAAACATTATTTGGAGAATAGGATTGGGAATAGGGATAAAAATAATAAGCCAAACATGGCCCAAACTATTATAAAATCAACGAAATTAAAGAAAATGGATAAAAATAAAAGAAGCACAACAATTCATATGGTTTGCCTATTTTGGCTACTACGTCCATGTAATGACGTGAAAAAGATTTTTCACTATTAAACAAAAGAGTAGAATGGTCCAATCTTTCTCACAAAGTTATTAAAAAATCCATATTTATGGGGTTTTGAAGTTAGATGTGTAAAGGTAATAGATGAAGTTAAATCATAAGAGATGTTTGTTAAACTTTGAACTTGACAATGAATGAACATTGAACTACGTCCATGTGAAGTTGGATGAACTTTGAAAATGAATGCCAAACTTCCAACTCAAATCACTTGAGTCAGAACCGTTAGTAACTATTATCTTCTTAAAACTTTGAACTTGACAAAGAATGAAATTCTTGAAACAGAGCACTTCCTTCATGCCAATCAATACCTACAATACAATCTGGCTAGCTAGTTATTCAGAACCGATTTTTACAGTTTGAAAAACAATAAGATACCTTTTTGAAGATTTTCTCTCACAAAGGTATTAGAAAATAGGTATTCATGGGGTTGTAACGTCTGTAAATCTGATGAACTTGAATCATAAAACATGTTTTTTAACTGATTCCCATAAAAAAAGAAACTTCAAAGTCATCAAACAACTTTTGGATAATCTGACTTGTTTCAGCTGTAGCTGCAACTCTGGGAGTGACTCCCACTCTGGAATTTTACGGCTTGGGTAAAAAATCCAGGAGCTAGCTACCATTGTAATTAAGCTAAAACTATCCATATACTGATACTAAATTAGAATATCGACAGATGATATGAAACCAAGAGCAATGCTATTATAGAGAACACTAAGTACCTACATTATCGGAAGATGATCATTTTGCTTTCAATTTATACAAAAGCAATTCGAAAATTCAAGACCGTTCTCTCAAAAGTCAGGAAACAAACTCATATAGGATGTCCGTATGATGTCCTACGGCCAATTACCTTGTCCATGCGTTTCGTATGCATAAGTAACAATTGTTTGCAGAAACCAATATGGTGAATTGATGGAACCTTTTAACATCGCAATAGTGCTTGATATTAAACATTTCTTCACAAGATATGTATTGAGTCATAACTGTTTGTTGCAGCTTGAAAAGAAAAGAAAAGAAAAGAAATAAAAGCTGACTTTTGAGTAAGAATTTGTTACAAAATTATAGATACAAGAATATGTAAGAGTCCCTATGGCCAGGTTACCTGGTCCAATTCACATCCAACAACATAACATGGCAAGCTGATGGAACCTTATCAGTTTTAAAACTCAAGTGGTGCTTGATATTCAACATTTCTTTCAAAAGATGTCTCCACTAAAGGATTTCCTGGTTGCTGCAGCTTGAAAACAAAACAATACAAAACTTTAGCATGAAATAACTTCAAAATAAATACACAGAGTCACACATTATGAAGTTATAAATTCCACAGTAAGTGCAGAGGATGTTAAAACTGATTTTTGAGTAATATGTGTATCATACTCAGTCAATAATATTATATAAGATTCCCTGTGGCCACTTTACCTAGACCATTTCTCGTTCAACAGCATTAGAACCCAATTGCAATAGTTCCACAGTTTGGGAAACGCAATAATTTCTGTAGATGACGACATAGCATCACTTCTATTCCCAAAAACTCATAACCTACTTTTTTCACATCATTGTTAAAAGCTAATCTAGAAAGAGTTGTCTTTCCGATTTCTCCCATCCCTACTATAGAGATTGTTGGGAGGACTTGTTGACGACTAGGACTCAAACAAAAATTCTACTATTCGATTCTTCTCTTCATCTCTTCCATAAACCTCAGTTACATCAATGGCAAAGGTGGTCATTTTCCATGCTACTTCTTTGCTACCCTTAGTAATTGATTTAATGTTGAACCTCTCTCTCTACAGCAATAGTGCCTGGTTTTTACATCTAGATCATTTATCTTGACAACAACATCATAATGCAAAAATCAATGGTCCACAACTGAGTTAGTAAAGAATGAGAGATCTTACCTTTTTCAGAGGCTTAGAAGCATTTCGAGATTTCTTAATTTGTAATTTCTGAAGCTTTGAGTTCCACACATCCAACACATCGTCTATGAGCTTGTCTAACCAAACTCTCACAGCATTCTCCTTCGCTTGGCGGTCCTCAGCATCAGCAAGCACAGCTTGAATGGCCAGGAAATTGCTCTGAAGCTTCTCAACTTCTGGTCCAGCTCCTGAAATCAGCCTGATCCCTTCCTCCTCCTGTTGACGAGTGACTGAAGCCAGTTGTTTTAAGAGAATAGAAAATGAAAGAGACGGTTCATAGTTCAAGTCCACAGAACCATGTTTCACATCACCTGAATAGAAAATGTTAGTAGATTATATACATATACTTTGGTCCTTTATTAATAAATATATGTTTTGAAACTTCGAACCTGAGAAAGATGAAAGTTACTGAAACAGAACAGTTCCTTCATGAAAATGAGGTCTAGCATACCATCTGGCTGGCTAGCGTTACATACAAAAAGTATCTGCAACTTTCTTCTGGTGACCAAAAGCATTATTTTATTGGTTGAGTAGAAAATGCTATTAGATAATGTACATAAACTTCACTTCTTTATTAATAATTATATGTTTTGAAACTTCTAACTTGAGAAACATTGATTGAAACAGAGCAGTTTCTACATGCCTAAAGATACCTGCAATTTTTTTCTTATGACCACAGGCCTATTTTACTTGTTGAAACACACAACTATTGTAAAACTAAACTCTGTGGCCTTAAACTGCAATACATTATTATTTTTGTGAGATGGGATACATAGACTATGATACATATTCACAAAGTTATCAAGTCAGCTAGGGATGTTACCATGAAACAACAATTTCTGATTATATTTTCTCATATTATAGTACTGGTCGATGCATTATATTACTAAATCCTGTGATTTATAAGGTATAACCAGCAGAATGACATAACTCTAACAAAATTGATCTTTCAATGGTTTTGTCTCAGCATCATCCAGTAACTTAGTAATTCACAGGAACAACAACAAGCACTCTCTAGTGTATCAATTCTCCGAAAGAGAGAAGCTAAAGAGCATACATTTCTTAAAGTTTCACCAGATTGGCCACATCTTGAAATTCTCTTTTGTATGCCAGAGAACACTAATTCAGCTAAGAAATCAAATATCATCCCCAGTAACATCAAAACATTGATACTGATAATTAGCGACAAAGATTGAAACTTACAAAGTTAAGATATAAGCCACATCACCGAGTCGACCTCACTTACATCAACAGAAGACAAATTGCTGGAAAAAAGCATGGAGAGTTGATAGAGCTTTTTCCCAATGCAGTTGAGCATGACTATTTGCTGCAGTTTGAAAAGGAAAAAAAAAAAAAAAAAAACAATTAGCATCAGCTATCTTAATACATAACAAGACACCTAGTACTTTTATTTCTTATTCAAAAAGTTAAAAAAAATTCAGCTTGTTATAAAATTAACACAAGATAGGATCTAATTCCAAATTTTATCTGCTTAAGCTATGAAAAGAAACTATCTGAAAAGGAGAAGAGAGAAAATCACTGGGAGTTGACGGCGATTGTAGCTGCTTGACAATTCCAAGGTCATCTCTTTGCACATATGCGGAATCAATGTTGATGAAGAGAGTATGAGATTCTTGGTTAGAATCTCGTGGAGATGATGATGATGGTATGGGATCTCGAAAGTTGTTGAAGAAGAGGAATCCAGTGTTTGATGTTTGGGAATTCGAAAGGTTTGAACTCCGAAGGGCCCTCCACTTTAGAAAGTTCGCTTCTAAGTATTCAAAGTGCCCCGGCCCATTATCTTTTTTCTTTTCTTTTCTTTTTTTTTTTCAATTTTCTCGGGAAAAAAAAATCCTAGACTTTAATGTTTTAAATAACCAAATATTACTTGAATTTCGAAATAAAGACCGTAAATATATGTAAAAGATTATGTCCTTAAAGGTAATTTTATCGGTTGGAATTCTTTGATTAATTTGTATTAATTCATGAGGAAGGGAATTTTTTTTTAATTGTGTTGATAGATACAGATAAAGTTGAAGATGTAGTTTATAATTTTGTTTTGTGAAAATATTAAAAAATTCTAAAGTTAGGGTTAAATGAATTAATATGGAAGTAATTCTAGAAAAAGTACGTAGTTTAAGCTAAAGAAATTGAATTTTCCATACTATAAACTCCTATTTATTTTTCCTCTGCTCTGAGACACTGAAAGGACTTGGGGGTGGTAAAATGAATTATTCTAGTTTGAATTAATTTAATGATTATGCTGAAGAAAAAGAAATTTCAATTTAACTTTTAAATACATAATCAAATTGAGAAAAGAAAATAGAATTAATAATGAATCCAATTCAATAGAATTACCTTAAGTATTGATACATGAGTCGAAGGTAGGGTGAATCTGCATCATCACTGTGCTGGTTTTTACGGCACACTATAGGGTGAACTTGCACCTTAACTGCAACTTTATTGTCGTGCGATTGAACTATCTAAGAAGCAACTTTGATAAACAGATTTGATCTTTATTGAACTCAGAAAAAAGTCTTCACAATAATCTCTTCTATTGATTTGTAAATGTATATATGTAGTGTTAGAATTTCAAAAGACCGACCTTAAAAGATATATGAAATTATTATAAGATATATGAAATTATTATGATTCGAATACTTCTTATTTAAATGATTTTTAATTCTTTGATGGTTATATAGATTCAGTTTATTCTTGGTTGAACAATATTTTCTAGTTTGTTCGTTGAAAGATTATGAGGCTGTTTGTTTTTATTTTTATCTTAAGTCTAAATGTAATTAATTTTAGTAGATGTTTTAGTATAGAAGTAAATTTATCCAAATACAAAAATATCTTAATCAATAATAATTTTCTTTTGTCAACAATATCCCTATTTAATTTATATAATTCCAATTTTAACAAAACCCTTATAAAATTATGTATTTTTGGTCTTCTTTTAATTTTTTTTTAGCTATTACATTAAGCAAATAGTTATTTATAATCTATACACATTTTTTTCTTCATAAATTTGATAATTTTAATTTTTTTTAAACATGTAAAAAATAAAGTTACATTAATATTTAATAAAGACAAATGTATCAACACACCCGATTTAAGATGTTTACATATGTACAGTCAAACTACTTAATTAATACTCCTAATCAGACATTAAAAAAACAAACACTACGTAAGTGTTTGCTTTCAGTTTATGCAGAAGTTTGGTGAGGCGAGATTCCTGCACTGTTCTGTGAAAGGCAGCCAATTGTTAAGAGAGTCGGATGAAAAATTAAAAATGAAGGAGGCAGTTCTTCTTATGATCAAAAGGCATATTTCACTGGTTGAAGCACACGATTATTGAAAAATAAAACTGTGTCCTTAAACTGTAATACAAGATTAGTTCTTTGAGATAGGATAATACATAGACCAGGTTATACATATTATAGTTCTGATCAAAGCATTATATTACTAAATCCTGTCCTTTTAAGGTGTAATCAGCAGAACGGCTCAGCTCCAACAAAATTGATCTTTCAATGTTTTTGTCTCAGCATCATTCAGTAATTTAGTAAATCAAAGAGTAACCGGGGCAGTTTTTAATGCGCGAATGAGATAGATAATCAGTTGATTCTTGACCACTCTTAGTTAACAAGAAGTTTATTAATGTATTCTTGTCATGATCTCTTCCATAAACCTCTAGTAAATCAGAAGAGTAATATAGTTATTTCGTGCTCATATTGCCTAATGCCGCAGTCAAATTAAGATTGAAAGTATTCTTTTCCATTGTTTCATTTAGATCTTTTATCTTGAGAGCAATTTCATGATGAAGGAAAACTTGCTTGCAACAAAAGTATCAGACGATATGCAGGGACATAACTTTTTCAAAACTTTGGATACGATTTCCAGTTTCCATTCATTTGTAATTTTCTGCTCCCTATGGTTCAGTGATCGAAGACATCATCAATGTCATATGACAAGTCTTTGAGCTTATCTAACCAATTTCCCACACTCTTCTCCTTCACTTGTCTGCTCTCAGCAGCTTGAATGGTCTGCAGACTGCTGGTGAGCTTTCCCACTTGGTTAATGACGCTACCAAGGAGTTTCTCCTCTTCAGTTGTTAGTGAAACCAATTGCCTCAAGACAGTGGAGACAAGCGCTTCAACTTCAATTTAACTTAAAATTCCAATGAAATTAATTCATTGGTGTCTATCAATCTTTCTTTATCCAATGTGTTTATCAACCCAATAGAAGAAAGATATTCCAATTCAACATCCAGTTTACTATTACGTAACGAAAAAGAAACCTAGATTCCAACAATTCATTTTCTTTCTTGAGAGAATATAATCAAAAGCTACAAATATATGCAGAAAATTAAAGATCAATGACACCCAAATTTTTACGTGGAAAACCTCCCCGATGTGAGGAGTAAAAACCACGGGACCTTAGTCCGATTAAAGTCTTTCACTATCACCAAAAATGGGAATACAAAGTCTTCTCTAGTGAAAACTAGAGGCATACAAACATCATAAACTTCACAAATCCAACACCAACAATCTCAGCAAAAACAGGAAGAAAATATCACAATTTATGGAGAGAATAATCTCAGAAGACACAAAAACTGCAGTTTCGAGTTTACCCACAATTAACAGCCTTACAGTGCCTGGGTTTCAATCTACACCATTCAGAATGCAGAGTTGTGTCTCATGAACAACATATCCAAAAACCAGAACAAATGGACGGCAAACGAGCTCCAGATCATGATTCGATGATGCACTGTTTACAGACTCAAAAACTCAGATTTTCTCTCTGTTTCTCTTTGTTTTTGCCTCTATCTCAAACATATATGGTGGTAGAAAGAATACGAATGGTGGCTGGAGTAGAAGGGACAGCAGCTGGAGCAGAACACACACTCCCTCTCTCTCGTTTCTGGCTGCTACATGATGAAAAAGAAGATGAAGATAAGTTTGGGTTTTAATTTGCAAATACACTTTGGGTCTAACATGTTGAACTTCACATCTACATATGGGAGGTAACCAAGTAAAGCCCAAACCCAATATGTTATAATTTTCAATCACTCAATGCCGATAGGGACGAGGAGGAAAGATACAGAAAGCTTAATGTCAAGCAGCTAGCTGAGTTTGAGATAGGATACATTCTGCCCAATCCAGCTATAAATCGTAACTTTCATCCCGTTTGACTCTCCATCTACAAGCTTTACCACCACTCTGGATTTATATCATTGCAAGACAGGTACCTATCTATGCAGTAGATGCTGTTTGAGAAGTTCCCAGAAAACAGAGTGATGAAGATTTGATAAAATAAAGGGGTTCGCATTGATAAAAAGCATTCAATTTGACTGAGCGCATGTTCGTGTCTATATACTAAATGTTGCTTCAGAACTGAAGAAATGGAGACTTGTCACATCTTGTTGCCATATGGTATATGTCTCCTTCAGAAGATACCTTGTGTTCATGAGATAACAGGACATAACTTTAGAAGGAGATTAACAATTATCATGACAGAAGAATCATAATATCTTGTATTTTAAGCAACACAGTTTTTGCAACTTTGGAAACATGATCTGAAATATGTCTACAGAAATGCAGACATGAAATGGATTTCTACTTTCAAACAAAGGACTTGAAAGCTTCAATCTTTACAAGAAACAGAAGAATATGACTAACTAATAAAACTTATGGAGCAAGTTTACTGTCATATATAACAGTCATTCATGCTTTTGGACTAACTTCTATTACCTACTTGCAATCCTACTTTCTCATTCATGCTTTTGGACTCCATGGTCTGCTAGACTGTAACATCATGACCGCAATTCACATAAATAATAGAAAACCTGAGTATGAATATCTTAAGCACAGGTGTTCTCACAGGTATTGTTAAAGCAGAATTGACTGTCCCTGACTATGAGCAAAACAATTGAAAGGTGAAATACCTAATCATAGTCAGGAAGTCATTGATAGGTCCTTTAATGCAGCCAAAACTCTAGTCAACCACTTCTCAGTTTGATGACACAATTTAAGCAATATCTGTAAGTTAATGATCCCTCTTCAGCAAATATTAATCACCACAAACTAATGTTAAGATGCCTTGTTTTCTCTTTAAAATGTAATTGTTATCTTATCTTCACTATACATCAAACTTCTTGATGACATACAACATCAATGTGGTCAAACTGAATAGTTATTTTCAAGAGCATCCTGTCACCAGAAACAATCGACGAAGAAAGTACCTGTTGGATAGACGCTGTTGTGTTGACAAAAGAAAAAAGGAGCTAATTCTACCAAGTTTGTGTGGTACACCATTGCTTGACATTGACTCTTGAAGAAAATCATTACATGTTGAACTTGCTTTACTGTATCAAGTGTGAGATATCAAAAAGATTTCAGTTATAGGAAAAAAGCCATCCAATAACTTAATAACCAAAAGATATTTGGAACAAACCATCATTAGCATAAAAGAATTCTACTTACTGGGAAAGGAGGAGTTATATCTATCATAATCTGCAGAAGGGTGAGCAATAAGTTGAAGTCTAATTATAAAACGTTTATTATCTCAAAGTGGCTCTATTCTAACTGATTTTCCAAAAATAAATAAATAAATTCTCTACTATAAGTTGCTCGATTATTGCGATTTAGGAGTTGTTTATGACTAAAATTAATAATTCATGAAACTAACGAGTTTGTCATGTAAGTTTGTGATGTAAAACATACTGATCAAGTAAATTAATTGCAGAAGAGCAGCTAAAGATCTTACTCTTACCTTTAAAAAGTGACACCATCTAATCACTTGTTCTATTTTGTCTTTCATGTCACAAACAGCTAAATCAGTCAACAAATCAAGTAACTACTCCTGTAACATTTAATTGTGATACTTAGGAAGAATAACAAAAATTTAAATGCTGGTTATATAAATACCATTAGCCCAATTACTTACACATCAACATAATAAAGAGTCGCTGAATAAAACCATGCATAGAGAGTTAATGGAGCTTTGTCACACCTGCTTGCATACTATAAAAATGCTTATAATAAAATGCAAAAACTGTTTAGTTTGCATTCCACAACAAGAAGCTGAAGAGAAAATTGCTGCACTGACAGATGAAAAGAAACGAGAAATGGTTTGATTTTCTGGTAGAAAGTGATGCTGATATAGACAAAAAAGAGATGATAAAATGGTCCAGATTCAAGATTATATAAGAATTCCTATCGCCTTATTACCTAGTCCAATTCAGATCCAACAACAAAACATAACAATTACTTAAAACTGCAATGGTGCCGAATATTCAGCACTTCTTTCACAAGATGTCTCCAGTGCAGGATTTCCTGGTTGCTGCAGCTTGAAGAAAAAAAAAAAAAATAAATAAAAAAAAAAAAAAAAGAACTTTAGCATGTGTCACCTTAAAAGAACAACACAAATTCACATTAATGAAAATGAATTAATAATGATCAAAATTCTCTTGAAAATAGGATGTAAGACCAGATTATAAAGTTAAAATTTCCATAATAAGTGTAGGGGATGTTAAAAACTGATCAATTTTTATAGTCAGAGAAAGACCAAAGGAATCTTTCACTTGTTGAGAGCAATAACTTGGTTTGATAATAATCAACAAATGGGGGAGCATAATGGACCGAATACTTCAGAAAAATTGAAGCTAAGACTTGAGAAATGTTAGTCAAAACTGAAGGTTTTACCTGTAAGGAGAGGAATTGCCTGTGGATTGATCATAATTGTAGCATTTTGAGAATTCAAAGGATGTCCCTTTGCAGAATCAAAGTTGAAGTTAAAGCTTGAGATATGTTGGTTAAAACTAAAGGAGATGATGATGAGTTATCAATTCACTCAAGTCGTTTCGAGAACATAAGAACCACTAATTTCTGATTCAAAACAAATAATTAAAAGGGAAAAGAGAGGAAATTACCAGTGTTTTGAAGGAAAATCAGTGTTGAAGCCGATAATTTCAGAGAACCTAATCAGAGGAAGATGACGATCAACTATTGGTTCTCTGTTCTTTGGAGAAGATGACAATAATCTATTTCCTTCTTCAACATTGTCATCTGATGAAGATGGTTTGGTAGAGACTTCAATTTGGGACAGTCATGGAGTTCTAAGGTCTGAAGAGATGGCATGACTGTAATATCTTTATCTCCTCTCTTTGTACTCCCGTAATTCCACTCTTCCCATTCTTCCATCCCCGAGAAGTATAGAAATTTCAGTTTGGGAAACGCAATAATTGATGAAGATGATGACATGGCAACATTCTCTATTCCCAAAAACTCATTACCCACTCTTTTCACACTCTTCATTTCATCTATCCAAAGAATTTCAAGAGATGATAACTTACCCAAAGGAGGCAGATGTTCACAGTTTACACAAGCCCAAAGATTTAACCTTCTCAATTTGGTCAATGACATCTGAAAGTTCTGTGAAGCCAAAAACGGAGCCGTTTCACCTGAGTCAAAACGGGGTCGTTTTGTTTAAAGCCATTACCAAGTTTCAGCCGTTAGATCAAGACAGATCCAAGGGCTAAGAACTGCTGATGACTTAGTATATAAAGAAGCCCAACAGTGACACTTAAGAAGAACGCGTATTTTGTTATTCAGAGAATTAGGGTTAACGAAAGGGATACACTCGGGCTAGGGTTTGTTCTCTCTGATTGAATCTTTCTGGGTTAGTCTGCTTTGAGTGAGAGAGGGTTGAGTTTCCTTCTAGAGGCTGAGTTGTCCTCTGTTTCTTGCAGATTGTAGAGGGGTTCTGGAGTGATTAGGCCATAGTGGGTGGTAGTCTGTTTGAGGCAGACTTGTAACGGTGTTCTTCTTGTATTCTTTGACTGACTCATTAGTGCAGTGGGCTTCCAGAGTTTCGGAGCTCAACGTGGATGTAGTCTATCCAAGATTGGATAGACGAACCACGGTAAAATTGTGCCTTGTGTATTTGTGTGTGATTTTCTTGATCTTTACTTGTTTGTGTTTGACGGTGATACTGCATTGATGGTGGTGAGATCACAGCCATTGTTCTTTACAATTTGAAATTCAAGTGAGGTGATTGAAACGTGAGAAATGGTCAATTACTTCAAAATGGCCACCAACTTTCGAATGGAGTTTTGAATTCTTTTTCAGTATTACTGGAAGAGTGATGCTATGGGACTAACGGATGAGTACTAATCGTGTACTAACTAAATATAGTACGGGTACCATACGCATAGTACGTACTATGTGTGATTTTAACAAAGGTTAGTACACTAGTTAGTAAATCCTTTAACGCAAAGTTTATTCTTACTGGAAACATTTTTTTTTTTTTTTTTTTTTTAATCATGAACGTCAGCCAAGGTTTTGCTTTAGTACTAACAACAAAGGCAGAGGTTAATCAACTTATAAATTTTGCTTTAACTTTTTATAGTGCCCTTACTTTTTTATTTTTATTTTTTCTTTTCTTTTGAAATTTTGCTTTAACTTTTTATAGTTTCCTCTACTTTTTTTTTTTTTAATCAACTCATGAATTTAAACATATATTTTTTTATAGGAATTCTAATAAACTTTTGACAGAGAGAGTTAATTGTTGCACTAATTGAAGTGATGAGTATTAATATTAATGGAGTACAAATGGTTAGATTACAGCCTTTTGTTGTTTACAATTTTGGAATTCAAGTGGGGGTGATATCCTGGGTTGAATCCGTGTTTACGTAAACTATTGAAACGTGATAAATGGTCAATTGCTCCAAATTGCACCAAACTTTAGAAAATCAAATGGATCGCATGGTGCCCACTGCTCTGCTCACTAGAAAATTATTTTCATTATATTAACATACATCTTAAACTTTATGCCAACCCAAAATTTAGAAGCTATGTTTGCAGTTTCGAGATTTCTAGTTGACTGACTACAAAATTGTTGATTTCAAGTATTTGTTTCTTAAACTTTCTTTTGTATACCTTAAAAAAATGTATGATTTTTTGAATTTAATTATTCTGTTCACTAACCTATTGTCTAAAAACATGAAATAAACTAACCAATAATATAAAGAAAGACTAAAGAAACCTTTCCTGGTGACAGCAATAATTTGGTTTAAATATCATTATTATTCAACATGGAGGAACATAATGGACCCTCCACTGGAGAATTTTTGCTTTAGAACTAATCGACAAAGGCAGACGTTAATGGGTCCTTCACTTTTGGAATTTTGCTTTAACTTTTTGTAGTGCTCCTTACTTTTTTTTTTTTAATTAAACATAGATTTTTACATGATTTTTTTTGTTTTTTTTTTTGGGTGGATTCTAATAAACTTTTGACAAGAGTTAATTTTTCATTAATTGAGGTGATAGCAAGATGAGTACAAATGGTGAATCACAGCCATTTGTTCTTTACAATATGAAATTCAAGTGCGGGTGATATCACGGGCTGAATCCGCCTTTACATCAGTTGATTGAAATGTGAGAAATGATCGCATGTGCCCGTCTGCATCTACAAAATTATTTCCATTATGCTATATACATCTTAAACTTACAGTTAGAGAAGACAAAGGAATCTTTCACGTGATACTGCTTCAGAGTGGCAGACTCAAGGGAACCAAAGGGAATTATTATAGTTACAAAGGACCAAAACTTTTTATAGTATCAAAGCAAAACTAGTCACAAAGCAGGCTTAAAGGTTTTCCTGGCCCCTCTTCCAAAAATTCGCTACAACTTTTAGAGTGTTAGAGAATCTCATCTCTTTCTCCCCAAACTCAAGTGGTTCAGCAGCAGTAGTTTCAACAACTCACGATTCTGCTTTGTCTCCACAGATCTCCTCTAATTAGTTTAACATTCAAAGTTTGTTCGATCTCTTCCTTGTATTTAGACATCTCTCTTTAGTAAAAGAGTTCATCTCTCATGTATATATTGACCAAACTTGTAAATCAAATTACAATCAATATTTTATACTCTCTCCTTGTTAGAGAGTACCCCTTCATTTTCGGAAACTGGGGTTCCCTTGTACCTACTGTCGGCCACATTTAATAAAAGACCATGGAAAACCCCTGTTTTCTCTCTTTGTTATGAGACTTGGAAAAGATGTAGGGTCGGTGGATTAATTTGTGATTATGATCTTACTTACTCTTTAACGGTCTCGATATTGCTGAATGTTTGGGCTTTTCAATAATTTCCAAATTCAGTTCCGAGTTCTTTTCTCGATATTACTCCAAATTGCACCAACTCGAGAAAATCGCATGTGCCCGTGTCCGCCATCACTTTGAAAATTTAATCATTATATTATGTACATCTTACTTTATAGCACCCAAGATTTAGAAGCTGTGTTTGCGAGTTTCCAAGATTCTAATCGAATGACTACAATTTATTGTTCCAGTATTTATTTTTTAAACTTCTTTCGAATTGTTCACCCAAGTGAGGAATTATGATACTGGTTTAAATTAGTTATGGGAGAACGATAATTTCCCCCCCAAGTTTGGTAAAACAACACTTTCCCACCCTTAAGTTTCAAAATTACACTTTTCCTCCCTTTGCTAGGTTATGTTATTTTTCGGTTAATATTTTACTAAAAAAATAAAAATACCCTTAAATATTTGGCTTTATATTTTTTAATTAGCCAAAAAATCAATATTAAAAATTCAGAAAAAGAAAAAATAGTTAGTTCCACCTAACAAGTTAGAAATATGTGATGGTATTGTTTAAAGTTAAATAAGCTTAACATTTATTTATTTATAATGTCATCAATATCACATCACTATTATTCGATAATCTACTAAATTTGTAATGTTTTTCATTTTACTAAAAATAATGCTATGGTATTGTTTAAAGTTAATAAGCTTAACATTTTTATTTATAAGATCATCATATCATATCACTATTATTCGATAATCTACTAAATTTGTAATGTTTTTCATTTTACTAATAACATAAAAATCAATATCCTAATTAATTAAATAAACAAAGAAAAAAGATATCTTTACACTTAAACTAATAATAATCGGTAAAGATTTTGACTTAACTAGATTTTAATTATATAAACTATTAAGGGTATTTTTGTCTTTTTAATAAAATATTAACAGAAAACACTAACAAAGCCTGACGAATGGTGGAAAAGTATCATTTTGAAAGTTGACGGGTGAGAAAGTGTCATTTTCCCAAACGTTGTGGGAAAATGTGGTTTCCGCTTTAGTTATTATGGTCACTAACCTATGGTCAAAAAAGAAACGAAATAATTATTAATCGACTCTTAGATCAAGCAGCTTCAAAACAATCAAGGGTGCGTTTGGTTTATTATTTTGGATAGGATTTTGGGATAATATTGAATATTGAATATGGGAGTATTACGAGGTAAATTTCAAAATTTATAAAAAACCCCCTAAGTTTGCTAATTTAATACACCCACATGTAAAATGACAAAATACCCCCCCCACCTGCAGTGCCAGATCCCGACCACCACCGTCAGAACTGCCAGAAAATCGCGTTATACACAGACCGGTCAGATCTGTTTTTGATAATTTTTAAACTTTTTTTCAGGGTGTATTTGATGAAATTAATACCTTATGGGGTATAAAAGTAATTAAAAAAATAGGGTAATATTTCTAGAATAATATGTCAAACTATTTGGAGAATAGGATTGGGAATAGGGATAAAAATAATAGCCAAACATGGCCCAAACTATTATAAAATCAACGAAATAAAGAAAATGGATAAAATAAAAGAAGCACAACAATTCATATGTTTGCCTATTTTGGCTACTACGTCCTGTAATGACGTGAAAAAGATTTTTCACTATTAACAAAAGAGTAGAATGGTCCAATCTTTCTCACAAGTTATAAAAATCCATATTTATGGGGTTTTGAAGTTAGATGTGAAAGGTAATAGATGAAGTTAATCATAAGATGTTTGTTAAACTTTGAACTTGACAATGAATGAACATTGAACTACGTCATGTGAAGTTGGATGAACTTTAATGAATGCCAAATCCAACTCAAATCACTGAGTCAGAACCGTTAGTAACTATTACTTCTTAAAACTTGAACTTGACAAAGAATGAAATTCTTGAAACAGGCACTTCCTTCATGCCAATCAATACCTACAATACAATCTGGCTAGCTAGTTTAGACCGATTTTACAGTTTGAAAACAATAGATACCTTTTTGAAGATTTTCTCTCACAAAGGTATTAGAAAATAGGTATTCATGGGGTTGTAACGTCTGTAAATCTGATGAACTTGAATCATAAAACATGTTTTTTAACTGATTCCCTAAAAAAAAACTTCAAAGTCATCAAACAACTTTTGGTAATCTGACTTGTTTCAGCTGTAGCTGCAACTCTGGGGTGACTCCCACTCTGGAATTTTACGGCTTGGGTAAAAATCCAGGAGCTAGCTACCATTGTAATTAAGCTAAAACTATCCATATACTGATACTAAATTAGAATATCGACATGTATATGAAACCAAGAGCAATGCTATTATAGAAACACTAGTACCTACATTATCGGAAGATGATCATTTTGCTTTCAATTTATACAAAAGCAATTCGAAAATTCAAGACCGTTCTCTCAAAAGTCAGAAACAAACTCATATAGATGTCCGTATGATGTCCTACGGCCAATTACCTTGTCCATGGCGTTTCGATGCATAAGTAACAATTGTTTGCAGAAACCAATATGGTGAATTGATGGAACCTTTACATCGCAATGTGCTTGATATTAACATTTCTTCACAAGATATGTATTGAGTCATAACTGTTTGTTGCAGCTTGAAAAGAAAAGAAAAGAAAAAATAAAAGCTGACTTTTGAGTAAGAATTTGTACAAAATTATAGATACAAGAATATGTAAGATCCCTATGGCCAGGTTACCTGGTCCTTCACATCCAACAACATAACATGGCAAGCTATGGAACCTTATCAGTTTTAAACTCAAGTGGTGCTTGATATTCAACATTTCTTTCAAAAGATGTCTCCACTAAAGGATTTCCTGGTTGCTGCACGTTGAAAACAAAACAATACAAAACTTTAGCATGAAATAACTTCAAAATAAATACACAGAGTCACACATTATGAAGTTTAAATTCCACAGTAAGTGCAGAGGATGTTAAAACTGATTTTTGAGTATATGTGTACATACTCAGTCAATATATTATATAAGATTCCCTGTGGCCACTTTACCTAGACCATTTCTCGTTCAACAGCATTAAACCCAATTGCAATAGTTCCACAGTTTGGGAAACGCAATAATTGATGTAGATGACGACATAGCATCACTTCTATCCCAAAAACTCATAACCTACTTTTTTCCCATCATGTTAAAACTAATCTAGAAGAGTTGTCTTTCCGATTTCTCCCATCCCTACTATAGAGATTGTTGGGAGACTTGTTGACGACTAGACTCAACAAAAATTCTACTATTCAATTCTTCTCTTCATCTCGTCCTAAACCTCTTACATCAATGGCAAAGGTGGTCTTTCCATGCTACTTCTTTGCTACCTTAGAATTGATTTATGTTGAACCTCTCTCTCTACGCAATAGTGCCTGGTTTTTACATCTAATCATATCTTGACAACAACATCATAATGCAAAAATCAATGGTCCACAACTGAGTTAGTAAGAATGAAATCTTACCTTTTTCAACTTAGAAGCATTTCGAGTTCTTATTTGTAATTTCTGACTTTGAGTTCCACACATCCAACACATCGTCTAGGAGCTTGTCTAACCAAACTCTCACCATTCTCCTTCGCTTGGCGGTCCTCAGCATCAGCAAGCACAGTTGAATGGCCAGGAAATTGCTCTGAAGCTTCTCAACTTCTGGTCCAGCTCTAATCATTCTGATCCCTTCCTCCTCCTGTTGACGAGTGACTGAAGCCAGTTGTTTTAAGAGAATAGAAAATGAAAGAGACGGTTCATAGTTCAAGTCCACAGAACCATGTTTCACACATCACCTGATAGAAAATGTTAGTAGATTATATACATATACTTTGGTCCTTTATTAATAATATATGTTTTGAAACTTCGAACCTAGAAAGATGAAAGTTACTGAAACAGAACAGTTCCTTCATGAAAATGAGGTCTAGCATACCATCTGGCTGGCTAGCGTTACATACAAAAGTATCTGCAACTTTCTTCTGATGACCAAAAGGCATTATTTTATTGGTTGAGTAGAAAATGCTATTAGATAATGTACATAAACTTCACTTCTTTATTATAATTATATGTTTTGAAACTTCTAACTTGAGAAACATTGATTGAACAGAGCATTTTCTACATGCCAAAGATACCTGCATTTTTTTTCTTATGACCACAGGCCTATTTTACTTGTTGAAACACAACTATTGTAAAACTAAACTCTGTGGCCTTAAACTGCAATACATTATTTATTTTGTGAGATGGATACATAGACTATGATAATATTCCCAAATTTATCAAGTCAGCTAGGGATGTTACCATGAAACAACAATTTCTGATTAATTTTCTCATATTATAGACTGGTCGATGCATTATATTACTAAATCCTGTGATTTATAAGGTATAACCAGCAGAAAGACTAACTCTAACAAATTGATCTTTCAATGGTTTTGTCTCAGCATCATCCAGTAACTTAGTAATTCACAGGAACAACACACGCACTCTCTAGTTATCAATTCTCCGAAAGAGAGAAGCAAAGAGCATACATTTCTTAAAGTTTCACCAGATTGGCCACATCTGAAATTCTCTTTTGTATGCCGAGAACACTATTCAGCTAAGAAATCAATATCATCCCCAGTAACATCAAAACAGTGATACTGATAATTAGCGACAAAGATTGAAACTTACAAAGTTAAGATATAACACTCACCGAGTCGACCTCACTTACATCAACAAAGACAAATTGCTGGAAAAAACATGAGAGTTGATAGAGCTTTTTCCCAATGCAGTTGACATGACTATTTGCTGCAGTTTGAAAGGAAAAAAAAAAAAAAACAATTAGCATCAGCTACTTAATACATAACAAGACACCAGTACTTTTATTTCTTATCAAAAGTTAAAAAAATTCAGCTTGTTATAAAATTAACACAAGATAGGATCTAATTCCAATTTTATCTGCTTAGCTATGAAAAGAAACTATCTGAAAAGGAGAAGAGAAAAATCACTGGGAGTTGACGGCGATTGTAGCTGCTTGACAATTCCAAGGTCATCTCTTTGCACATATGCGAATCAATGTTGATGAAGAAGTGAGATCTTGGTTAGAATCTCGTGGAGATGATGAGATGGTATGGGATCTCGAAAGTTGTTGAGAAGGAATCCAGTGTTTGATGTTTGGGAATTCAGGTTTGAACTCCGAAGGGCCCTCCACTTTAGAAGTTCGCTTCTATATTCAAAGTGCCCCGGCCCATTATCTTTTTTCTTTTCTTTTCTTTTTTTTTTTCAATTTTCTCGGGAAAAAAAAATCCTAGACTTTAATGTTTTAAATAACCAATATTACTTGAATTCGAAATAAAGACCGAAATATATGTAAAAGATTATGTCCTTAAGGTAATTTATCGGTTGGAATTCTTTGTTAATTTTATTAATTCTGAGGAAGGGAATTTTTTTTAATTGTGTTGATAGATACAGATAAAGTGAAGATGTAGTTTATATTTTGTTTTGTGAAAATATTAAAAAATTCTAAAGTTAGGGTTAAATGAATTAATATGGAAGTAATTCTAGAAAAAGTACGTAGTTTAAGCTAAAGAATTGAATTTTCCATACTATAAACTCCTATTATTTTTCCTCTGCTCTGAGACACTGAAAGGACTTGGGGTGGTAAAATGAATTATTCTAGTTTGAATTAATTTAATGATTATGCTAAGAAAAAATTTCAATTTAACTTTTAAATACATAATCAAATTGAGAAAAGAAAATATTATAATAATGATCCATTCAATAGAATTACCTTAAGTATTGATACATGAGTCGAAGGTAGGTGAATCTGCTCTCACTGTGCTGGTTTTTACGGCACACTATAGGGTGAACTGCACCTTAACTGCAACTTTATTGTCGTGCGATTGAACTATCTAAGAAGCAACTTTGATAAACAGATTTTCTTTATTGAACTCAGAAAAAAGTCTCACAATAATCTCTTCTATTGATTTGTAAATGTATATAGTAGTGTTAGAATTTCAAAGACGCGCCTTAAAAGATATATGAAATTATATAAGATATATGAAATTATTATGATTCGAAACTTCTTATTTAAATGATTTTTATTCTTTGATGGTTATTAGATTCAGTTTATTCTTGGTTGAACAATATTTTCTAGTTTGTTCGTTGAAAGATTATGAGGCTGTTTGTTTTTATTTTTATCTTAAGTCTAAATGTAATTAATTTTAGTAGATGTTTAGTATAGAAGTAAATTTATCCAAATACAAAAATCTTAATCAATATAATTTTCTTTGTCAACAATATCCCTATTTAATTTATATAATTCCAATTTTAACAAAACCCTTATAAATTTTTATTTTTGGTCTTTTTATTTTTTTTAGCTATTACATTAAGCAAATAGTTATTTATAATCTATACACATTTTTTTCTTCATAATTTTAATTTAATTTTTTTTAACATGTAAAAAATAAAGTTACATTAATATTTAATAAGACAATTTATCAACACCCCGATTTAAGATGTTTACATATGTACAGTCAAACTACTTAATTAATACTCCTAATCAGACATTAAAAAAACAAACACTACGTAGTGTTTGCTTTCAGTTTATGCAGAAGTTGGGTGAGGCGAGATTCCTACTGTTCTGTGAAAGGCAGCCAATTGTTAAGAAGTCGATGAAAAATTAAAAATGAAGGAGGCAGTTCTTCTTATGATCAAAAGGCATATTTCACTGGTTGAAGCACACGATTATTGAAAAATAAAACTGTGTCTTTAACGTATACAAGATTGTTCTTTGAGATAGGATAATACATAGACCAGGTTATACATATTATAGTTCTGATCAAAGCTTATATTACTAAATCCTGTCCTTTTAAGTGTAATCAGCAGAACGGCTCAGCTCCAACAAAATTGATCTTTCAATGTTTTTGTCTCAGCATCATTCAGTAATTTAGTAAATCAAAGAGTAACCGGGGCAGTTTTTAATGCGCGAATGAGATAGATAATCAGTTGATTCTTGACCACTCTTAGTTAACAAGAAGTTTATTAATGTATTCTTGTCATGATCTCTTCCATAAACCTCTAGTAAATCAGAAGAGTAATAAGTTATTTCGTGCTCATATTGCCTAATGCCGCAGTCAAATTAAGATTGAATATTCTTTTCCATGTTTCATTTAGATCTTTTCTTGAGAGCAATTTCATGTGAAGGAAAACTTGCTTGCAACAAAAGTATCAGACGATATGCAGGGACATAACTTTTTCAAAACTTTGGATACGATTTCCAGTTTCCATTCATTTGTAATTCTGCTCCCTATGGTTCAGTGATCGAAGACATCATCAATGTCATATGACAAGTCTTTGAGCTTATCTAACCAATTTTCCCACACTCTTCTCCTTCACTTGTCTGCTCTCAGCAGCTTGAATGGTCTGCAGACTGCTGGTGACTTTCCCACTTGGTTAATGACGCTACCAGATTTTCTCCTCTTCAGTTGTTAGTGAAACCAATTGCCTCAAGACAGTGGAGACAAGCGCTTCAACTTCAATTTAACTAAAATTCCAATGATTAATTCATTGGTGTCTATCATCTTTCTTTATCCAATGTGTTTATCAACCCAATAGAAAGATATTCCAATTCAACATCCAGTTTACTATTACGTAACGAAAAGAAACCTAGATTCCAACAATTCATTTTCTTTCTTGAGAGAATATAATCAAAAGCTACAAATATATGCAGAAAATTAAAGATCAATGACACCCAATTTTTACGTGGAAAACCTCCCCGATGTGAGGAGTAAAAACCACGGGACCTTAGTCCATTAAAGTCTTTCACTATCCCAAAAATGGGAATACAAAGTTCTCTCTAGTGAAAACTAGAGGCATACAAACATCATAAACTTCACAAATCCACACCAACATCTCAGCAAAAAACAGGAAAAAATATCACAATTTATGGAGAGAATAATCTCAAAGACACAAAAACTGCAGTTTCGAGTTTACCCACAATTAACAGCCTTACAGTGCCTGGGTTTCAATCTACACCATTCAGAATGCAGAGTTGTGTCTCATGAACAACATATCCAAAAACCAGAACAAATGGACGGCAAACAGCTCCAGATCATGATTTGATGATGCATTGTTCACAGACTCAAAAACTCAGATTTTCTCTCTGTTTCTCTTTGTTTTTGCCTCTATCTCAAACATATATGGTGGTAGAAAGAATACGAATGGTGGCTGGGTAGAAGGGACAGCAGCTGGAGCAGAACACACACTCCTTTCTCTCGTTTTCGGCTGCTACATGATGAAAAAGAAGATGAAGATAAGTTTGGGTTTTAATTTGCAAATACACTTTGGTCTAACATGTTGAACTTCACATCTACATATGGGAGGTAACCAAGTAAAGCCCAAACCCAATATGTTTATAATTTTCAATCACTCAATGCCGATAGGGACGAGAGGAAAGATACAGAAAGCTTAATTCAAGCAGCTAGCTGAGTTTGAGATAGGATACATGCTGCCCAATCCAGACTACTCTTGCTATAAAGTAACTTTCATCCCGTTTGACTCTCCATCTACAAGCTTTACCACCACTCTGGATTATATCATTCAAGACAGGAACCTATCATGCGGTAGATGTTGTTTGAGAAGTTCCCAGAAAACAGAGTGATGAAGATTTGATAAAATAAAGGGTTCGCATTGATAAAACATTCAATTTGACTGAGCGCATGTTCGTGTCTATATACTAAATGTTGCTTCAGAACTGAAGAAATGGAGACTTGTCACATCTTGTTGCCATATGGTGTATATCTCCTTCAGAAGATACCTTGGTTCTGAGATAACAGGACATAACTTTAGAAGGAGATTACAATTATCATGACAGAAAATCATATATCTTGTATTTTAAGCAACACAGTTTTTGCACTTTGGAAACATATCTGAAATATGTCTACAAAATGCAGACATGAAATGATTTCTACTTTCAAACAAAGGCTTGAAACTTCAATCTTTCAAGAAACAGAATAATGACTAACTAATAAAACTTATGGAGCAATTTTTACTGTCATATATAACAGTCATTCATGCTTTTGGACTAACTTCTATTACCTACTTGCAATCCTACTTTCTCATTCATGCTTTTGGACTCCATGGTCTGCTAGACTGTAACATCATGACCGCAATTCACATAAATAATAGAAAACCTGAGTATGAATATCTAAGCACGGTGTTCCACAGGTATGTTAAAGCAGAATTGACTGTCCCTGACTATGAGCAAAACAATTGAAAGGTGAAATACCTAATCTAGTCAGGAAGTCATTGATAGGTCCTTATGCAGCCAAAACTCTAGTCAACCACTTCTCAGTTTTGATGACACAATTTAAGCAATATCTGTAAGTTAATGATCCCTCTTCAGCAATATTAATCACCACACTAATGTTAAGATGCTTGTTTTCTCTTTAAAATGTAATTGTTATCTTATCTTCACTATACATCAACTTCTTGATGACATACAACATCAATGTGTCAAACTGAATAGTTATTTTCAAGAGCATCCTGTCACCAAACACATCGACGAAGAAGTACCTGTTGGATAGACGCTTTTGTGTTGACAAAAGAAAAAAGGAGCTAATTCTACCAAGTTGTGTGGTACCCATTGCTTGACATTGATTCTTGAAGAAAATCATTACATGTTGAACTTGCTTCTGTATCAAGTGTGAGAATCACAAAAGATTTCAGTTATAGGAAAAAAGCCATCCAATAACTTAATAACCAAAAGATATTTGGAACAAACCATCATTAGCATAAAAGAATTCTACTTACTGGGAAAGGAGGAGTTATATCTATCATAATCTGCAGAAGGTGGCAATCCGTTTTTTTGGGTAAGAAATTGAGCAAAATCATGTACTATATCGTGCATCTTACAAAAACGTATATCAATATCATATTCCTCTTTTTGAAAATCTTGGAAGAAAGAATGCATTGCTAACGTTTCAAAATACTCCTCACCAACTAACTCCATATCCTTATTTGCCTCTGACCTTAAGTAACCTTGTGCCATCCATAACTTGATCAATACATCTTTCTTTATTTTATAATCCTTTGGAAAAATAGCACAATATGAGAAACACTTCTTCAGTCTAGGGGACAAATCATAGTAGCTAAATAATAGAGGTGGAAAAATCTTCTGTTCTACCTCTTTTAATTCCCATATTTCACTATTTAAGACACTTTCCCACTCTTCAGATGTTCTTTTAAAGCGCAAAAGACTACCTAAAGTCTTTACAGCAAGAGGCAAACCTTTACACTTTTCTACAATTTTTTTACCGATTTCTTCAAACTCTTCATTGGTTTTTCCCGAAAATGCAAGTTGACAAAACAAGGACCAACATTCCTTCTCAGGGAGTATCCCTAGTGAGATTATGTTGGTGGTTCCAATGGCATTTGCAACATTCTCCTTACGTGTGGTCACTAAAATTCTACTTTCTAATGATCCACACTTTAGTGTACATTTTAAATTTTCCCAATTTTCAGAATTTTCGGTCCATATATCATCTAAGACAAGAAGAAACTTCTTCCCTTCAATTTGTTGACCTATGTTTTGCATTACAGTTTCTAGTTCAACTAATTGGGATGGACTATTTGTGAGAGATTCAAGGATTGCCTTTGCAATCCTAAGCTCATCAAAAGGCTCAGAAACACACACCCATATTTTTTTATCAAAATGGTTATTCACCTTATAATCATTAAAAGCTAATCGAGCAAGAGTTGTCTTGCCGATTCCTCCCATCCCTACTATAGAGATTATAGGGAGGACTTGTTGTTGACTACTTTGACTCAAGAGTAAACCGAGTAATGAATTCTTATCTTTATCTCTTCCATGAACCTTTGTGAAATCAATAGCAGAGGTGGTGATTTGCCGTTCTACTTCTTTGCTACTCTCGGTGATTGTTCTAAAGTTGAACCTCTCTCTTGCCACAGCAATAATACCAAGTTTTCTATCAAGATCTTTTATCTTGACGCCAATGTCATAACGCATAACCAATGGCCTACAACTGAGATAGTGAAGAATGAAGGAACATACCGTTTTCAGAGAATTAGAAGCATCTTCAGCTTTCTTAATCTTCAATTTCTGAAGCTTGGTGTTCCACTCATCCAACACATCATCAATGTCATAGGACACGTCTTTCAGCTCGGCTAACCATGCTCTCACAATATTTTCCTTCACCTGGCGGTTCTCAGCATCAGCCAGCACAGCTTGAATTGCCCGGAAATTGATTTGAAGGTTCTGAACTTCTTGCTTAGCACCTGCAATCAAACTTATCCTTTCTTCTCCCTGTTGACGAATGATTGAAACAAATTGTTGCAACACAACCTCCACAAGCGCTTCAGCCATAGTGAAAGATGTTACGTAATTGATGAAAACAGAGATTGAGAAATTGAAATGGTTGGTGTGTTTATTTTCTGGTAACTGATCAATGTTTATAGTTAGAGAAAGACCAAAGGGATCTTTGACTTCAACAAATTTTTGGTGAGAGCAATAACTCGGTTTGATAATAATCAACAAATGGAGGGCCCTCCACTTCTGAAAAATTTATACAAATTTTGGCTCAGCCCTGTGACTTTTGACTAGCAGGTCATGTTATTAACTCTTGCATTTATGACTAATGAATTATTATACACGTCGTGGGGACCCTTTGAGTAGAAAATATCTTTATGTGGTGGCGTTTTTTAAAATAATTGAACGGTGATGACGCATTAATGGTGGTAACTGAGATCACAGCCACTTGTTCTTTACAATTTTGGAGTTCAAGTGAGGTGGAGAATAGTCGTATTCAATTAATAAATAGTCGTATTCAATTAATAAATAGTCGTATTCAATTATTAAGATGAGAAGAGAAACACACAGCTAGCAATGAAGAATATGGTTGAACGTTGCCATCAACTGAAAACCACTCAAATAAATTCCAATTTATGATTACAACCACCCCTTGAATCAAGTGAGAACATTAACATATTAATATAAATTGAGGCAATGATGCCTTAATGGAGTACAATTGGCGGGATCACAACCATTTGATCAATCTTTCACTTTTAACAACTTTTTTTTGTGAGAGCAATAATTTGGTGGTGGGGACCCATGTGTGGAAAAATATTTTTTATGCGTTGGCGTTTTCTAAAATAATTGAGGTGATGATGGTGATATCACAGCCATTTGTTTTGTTACAAGTTTGCAATTAAATGGGGTGACATTGTAGCCTGAATGCGTGTTGACGTAAGCTTATGAATTGCACGAAACTTTCATGACAAATCTAGTTAATGACAACACGCAATTGGGAATCATAATGAATTTCCTAAATATAATTTCTCTAAATCTAGAGGTGATTGCATTAATAAATAATAATATTTAGCTTAGGGCATTAATTTTCCTTAATACAAGTCAGAAAAGGCCGGAGCAAAATGGGCTGCGGATTTCTAGTTTTTAAAGGGCCCAATCCCATCATCTTTTTTTTTTTTTTTTTTTTGAAATTTCTGGGAAAAAAAATCTTAACTTTTATGTTTTAAATAACCAAATATGCTTGAATTTCGAAATAAAGATTTTCTCTTAAGGTAATTTTTATAGGTTGGAATTTTTCAATTAATTTGTATTAAGTCATGAAGAAGTGACTAGTTGACCGTGTTTTGCTAAATATAAATGAAGGTGAAGATGTAGATGTAGTTTTCAACTTTGTTTTCTGAAAAAATTTAAAGATTCTAAGTTTGATTAAAATTAGTTACCTTAAGAATATCATAAAGTAGTATGAGTTTTTGTCACGTAAACTTTTATGTAAATGTATATAAAATTTTTCGATTCAAATACTTCTTATTTAAATGAGTTTTAATTCTTGATGCTCATAGATATTTTGTTTGTTCTTGGTTGAACAATATTTCATAGCTCATTTGTTGATTGACTAAAGGGCTTTTTTTTTTTTTTTGTTTTTTTTTTGTTAATCTTTAGTCTATGTAAATAATTTTAATAGATTAAGATGTTTTAGGTTTGTTTTTTTTTTTTTTTTTTTAACTTATGTCTTATTTATCATATATATATAAGTAAAAAAACTAAAATATTTTGTTTTTATCTAAATACAAAAACATCTTAATCAATAATAATTTTTTCATTGTCAACAATATCCCTATTTAATTTATAAATTATGTATTTTTGTTCTTCTATTAACTTTTTTTTAGATATTACATTAAACAATTAGGTATTTATATTTATATAAATCTTTTTTTATTTCATATGTTTGATAATTTAAAAAAATAAAATTAAAATTTGTAAAATATAAAATTACATTATATTTAATAAGGATAAATGTGTCAAAACACCATATTTGTTTGATATGTTTGATAATTTTTATTTTTTATTTTTTTACTTATGAGGTAGGGGTATTTAAGTCTTTTTGTCTACTATTAAATTATAGTAAATAGCAGTATGATTTAAAATTCATAACATATTGCTTACTATTATTATAGGAGTATTATTGCCATTTACTGCCATATGTCTATCCCTCATGCACGTTTCTCCTTTGTACCGCTTATCTTCTTCATGCTTATATATATTCTTCATGCATATTTCTTCTCCAAATCTGTTCAGATAACTGGAATAACACTTCTTCTTCTTCCTCTTCATGCGGATAGTGTTTTGATGGTATGCTTTCATTCTATATATATAATCCATTAAATAATCAAAAGCACAAATTCAAATATAAAAACAAAAAATACAAATCAATTGGCAACTTTTGGGAGCTCAGAATTAGTGCCATACTAAAAGGATGTAACAAATTGCAAATGCTAGATGGTTCCGATCTTGAATATCCAGAAGTGTATATAAATGTTAGTAAAATAATTAATGTCAATTTACATTTTTTTAGGTGCGGTGCTGCAGTTGTTCACACGTTATGGAAGCTGATGTGGGCAGTCATAATAGTTTCCTGGGCATTTTTTATCCGAATGACAGCTTGTATGCCAATGACGACCTTACTGATCGGGAGAATGAGACATTCAAGTGGCTCGCTTCAGAAGAGTGCCGCTTTGCTTTTGCCGACCATGTAAGTTATTAATAATAAGAACCTTTTGATATTAATTATATGTAATAATATTTTACTTTGTTTTCAGTTTGACTTGTAGTGTTTAGTCTGCTATCGTGTGATGTTGATTGTGTGGAATGCGAAGGGTCCGCCGCTTGCGACACAAGGCGGAGATGGAGAGTCGACTAGTGACGGTCAACTGATAATGTTATATATGCATGGTGTGGAACCATGTGAAGATGATTACGACTTGTCTAAGATATCGCAATGGAAAGTTGAGAGGACGGTAAGAAGTTCTTTAATCCAAAGACTTTATCACGTCAATATTATGATAAAAGTTTGTTTCTTAATCTTTTAAACTTTTTTGATTAATTTAGGTTGATGGTAAACTATTCGATGATATTGTAATTGTCGATGGCTGTGCAAGCTCCCTTAATGGTGATAATTCTTCTATCAATGCTGCTCTCGATGATGATCCTGACAACGACAATGGTGGTGGTGGTTGTGGCGGTGACCATTCACAGGAGATCACATCAGCTCGTGCTTATTTTATTAAATTGAATGATGATGATGTGATATGGGATATACTAGAGGTATTAGAAGGTTATTGTTGAATTTCAAGATGAATTTGCTTTTGGGTAGAATTTCTTTGAATAACAATCAATGAATCAAATGGTACTATTTTGATGATATCCAAAATCATACAATGCCAAAATTACAAGGGCATGAAGTTCGAGCGAACAGCACTTAAAACCCCAGCTTCCCTTCTATCTGTGGTGCACAATACCACCACAATTTCTCAGAAAGTTTTCATGCATGACTTAACTATGGCATGTTACATGCTGCCTATCTATTCACTATGTCGCGATCGTGCAAATCGTCTCGACTGTTGCATATTCGAAAGATATGCCACAAACAGCATGACTCAGCAATTAACTTGCTACTTGTTCCTCTAAAATCGGCTATGTAGAAGAACCAGTTGAGAATCCCAGCTTTCCTATGACTTCTTCCAATCGATTTGCATTTGTCAGGTACAGATAACCAACCTGTGTACGAGAACCAGTTAAGGCATACAATTAACAGGAACCCAGAGTGGAAACTAATGCCTTCTTCAATGTAACAAATACTATTGCAAGAAAAAAACAAAATACAAGAGTACTAACTAGTGTTTCTAGCGAAGATGCTCTATTGCAAACTGCTGTACCAGCTCCTTTTTTTGTCCGTGTTTTACCAGAGATGATATTCTTTCCCCAGCAAAGAACATCCCTACGGTAAAAAATATCAACTACCATGAGTCAAATGCCAACTCTGAATAAATAAATATCAGTCTAATTTCAGCAGCTGTTTAAACAGAGTTCCGAAAGATAATTTTCTCACACTAAATGAGATGCAATAGCAGCCAAAAGTAACGATACATTTAGGGGGGGAAAAGTGACTCAAATTGAGAGTTCTTAGAAGATTTCTGTCATTTGACAAAGTCAACACGAATGATAGGATCCTCTTTTTCCTGAATGTCACTCTACATTTTATGCTGAAACGGACTCATAATTCTATCATAAAAATTAAATATCTGTCACTAACGACCATAACCAAAAAGAGTTACTTGTCACTAAAGTCATTTCAAGCAGTCAGAATAGAAGGATTAAAAGTAGAACCAACCTCAAATTCAACAAAATTCCCACAAGTAAATTCATGGAATCAATTGAAAATGCTTAATGAATTAGTAACTTCTCTTTCATGTAACAAGGTATTGGGCCATTATAAGACTTTAGATTATTCAATTTTATGATTAAAATGAGTCAATAATATTATCATCATCTACATATTATATATAAGCAATGTGGTCTCACTTCCCCACTTTATCCATAAAAAAAATTATATAAATTAATGAGAATTACTTAAAGAAACTGTTGAGTTTGCATTTATGAGCTAACATAGCGACAAATACTAGAAGTTGAAGAGAAAAATTGCTAAACTGTCAGATGAATGAAACCAAGAAACTACCTGATACCATTTTCAGCATTATCAGAAGATAATAAATTTACTTTCAATTTATACATAAGTTTAGTGACTCAAAATTCCTGGACTGTTCACTCAAAAGCAGCTCGTTGTTTAAAGAGTCAGAGTTGGATGAGCATTGAAAATGAAAGAGGCAGTTCGCAGTTCAAGTCCACAGAAACATGTTTCACATCACCTGAATAGGAAAATGTTAGTAGATTATATGCATGAACTTTGGTCCTTAATTAATACATATATGTTTTGACCTGAGAAAGACAAAATTTACTGAAACAGAACAGTTTGTTCATGCCAATGAGCTCTAGCATACCATGTGGCTGGCTAGTGTTACATGCAAGATGTTTCTGAAACTTTCTTCTAATGACCAAAAGGCATTATTTTACTGGTTGAGTACAAAATGCTATTAGATAATGTACATAAACTTCACTTCTTTATTAATAAATATATGTTTTGAAACTTCTAACCTGAGAAACATTGATTGAAACAGAGCAGTTTGTTCATGCCTAGAGATATCTGCACATTTTTTTCTTATGACCAAAAAGCATATTTCACTTGTTGAAGCACACAACTATTGAAAAACAGAACTCTGTGGCCTTAAACTGCAATACATTATTATTTTTGTGAGATGGGATACATAGACTGTTATACATATTCACAAAGTTATCAAGTCAGCATACAATTTTAAGATCGAAATATGAGACAATCTTGCAATGTTAAGTATGTTATCCGAGGAAGACAAATAAGCTACAGCAGCCAGTTAGTGACGTTAACATGAAACAACAATTTCTGATTCTAATTTCTCATATTATAGTACTGGTCGATGCATTGTATTGCTAAATCCTGTGATTTATAAGGTGTAACCAGCAGAATGACATAACTCTAACAAAATTGATCTTTCAATGGTTTTGTCTCAGCATCATCCAGTAACTTAGTAATTCAAAAGGATAATAATCACTTCTACTGTATAAATTCTCCAAAAGAGAGAAGCTATAGAGCATATATTTCTTAAAGTTTCACCAGATTGGTCACATCTTGATATTCTCTTTTGTATGCCAGAGAACACTAATTCAGCTGAGAAATCAAATGTAATCCCTGTAACATCAAAACATTGATACTAATAATTAGCGACAAAGATTGAAAATCACAAAGTTAAGATATAAGCCACATCACCAAGTCGACATCACATACATCAACAGAAGACAAATTGCTCGGAAAAAGCACGGAGATATCTTAATCCTTAACAAGACACTTAGTACTTTTATTTTTTATTCAGCTTGTTATAAAATTAACACAAGATAGGATCTAATTCAAAATTTTATATGCTTAAGCTACGAAAAGAAAATGTCTGAAAAGGAGAAGAGAGAAAATCACTAGGAATTGATGGCGATTGTAGCTGCTTGACAATTCGAAGGTCATCTCTTTGCACATATGCGGAATCAATGTTGAGGAAGAGCGTGAGAGATTATTGGTTAAAATCTCGTGGAGATGGAGGACATCCCCTAGTTATCTTCTCCAATGTTTGACATTTGAGAATGCGAAAGGTTTGAACTCTGAAGGGCCCATTGATATTGTTTGGAAGAAAACAAGCATTAATTTGGAAGCAAAATGGGCCTTCATCTTCTAAGTAGTTAAAGTGCTGAGGCCCATCATCTTTTCTTTTTCTTTTTCTTTTTTTATTTTTCTTTTTAATTTTTGAATAAATAATATACTATAATGTTTTAAATAACCAAATATTGCTTGAATTTCGAAATAAAGACCTTAAATATGTGCAAAAGATTATGTCCTTAAAGGTAATTTTCATATGTTGGAATTCTTTGATTAATTTGTATTAATTCATGAAGAAGGGAATTTTTTTTTTTTTCAATTGTTTTGATAGATATAGATAAAGTTGAAGATGTAGTTTTTAATTTTGTTTTGTGAAAATATTAAAAGATCCTAAAGTTAAAGTGAAATTAATTATCTTAAAAATATCATAAAACAGTATGAGTTCTTGTCATGTAAACCTTATACGTAAATGTATATACGTGCTACCGGAATTTTGAACGACAAAGTCTTAAAAGATATATGATTTTTAGTTCTTTGACAATTATAGATTTTCAATTTGTTTTTTAACTTATGTCTGTTTACAAGATATAAGTAAAAAACTAAAATATTTGGCATTTATCTGAATACAAAAACATCTTAATCGATAATATTATTTTTTTGGTCAACAGTATCCCTATTAAACTTATATAATTCCAAGTTTGACAATACTCTTATAAATTTTGTATTTTTGGTCTTCCTTTGTTTATTTTTATATATTACATTAAACAATTAGTTATTTATAATTTATATACATTTGTTTTTTTTATTTTCATAAATTTGATAATTAAAAAAAAACATGTAAAATATAAAATTACATTATATTTAATAAAGACAAATGTGTCAAAACATCATATTTAAGATGTTTACGTACATAAAGCCAAATAACTCAATATTTATAATCAAATATTAAAAAATAAAAAAACAAACATATCAATTACACTTATATATTTAAATGTATTCAACTAAAAGATACATTAAGCTTTCAAAAAAAAAAAAAAAAAAAAAAAAAAAAAAAATCCTAAGAGTTGTTTGACTTCAAGTATTTCCTTCTTAAGCTTTCTTTTCATTTTTAAACCAATTAAGATTTGATTGCTCAAATGGAAAAGACCAAGGAATAAGATTTGACTTCAAGTATCAAAGTTTTGCTTTGATACTAGTTAAAGTATTAAGTGTTGTCCAAATAATTCTTTCATTCTTTTCTTTGAGCATATTTTTATTGTGAAATAGGAAGTCTATTCAATCTACAAGCTATTCGTAATGATACAAGAATAGTTAAGGTTTTGTTTGGTTTAATATTATTATCCATATTATGGATTTGATTTTTCAAATAATGTTTGTTTTATTATTTGCACAATCCAATCTGCAAAATATTTTTCCTGACAGTTTTCTGACTTTCATTTTGACCGTTGGCTTTTATTTTTCTCAGCTTTTTCATTATTCTTCCTTGACATTTCCCACTTTAATCAAATATTCAATACAATTTCAAGGTTAAAATACTCTACCAAACACATATTCTGCAAATCTTATTCTCGTAATCATAACCCTATCCAACTATCCAATACTATCCCTAAAATCCTATCCAAATACTCCAATTCATTTTATGAATTAAACTTTCAACAAGCTACTCTTGAAGAATGAGGGAATGTGATGCAAATTGTAGAAGGCCATTTAAAGGAAAGAATTTGAATGATTTTTGTTGGGAGAAGATGATCTTTACTCAAAGAAATGGCTATGTTTGTTTCTTTATTCCTATCCTATCATATTCAAAATACATGTTTGTTTTACTATTCTCAAAATTCAATCATATTTTATTCAACTCAAAATATTTATATTTTGTTAAACAACTAGGTTTGTTAACTTAACTAAACACCCCCAACCAACCGGTCATGCACCATTCTAACAACTTCTGACCACCTTTCGACGGTAATGGCCGTCTACCAACAGTTAATGGATGGATGAAGGTGTTTTTGTTAATTTTAAAAAATTTTATTGTAAAGGATGTTTAACTAAATTAACAAATATATGGAATTAAAAAATAATCTTACCAAACACCTGTAATAATAACTCAACTCAATTTTTTCAAAAATACAACTCAAAATTATAAAACAAACACACGGCTGGTTTCCTTTACGCCTTTAGCTTTACAATGACTTATACATGGAAGTAACTTTTAAGAAAAATTTTGAGAATGGCAAATTATATGAATATTAAAAAGCAAAATCTCATTTCTTTTTCTATCCTGAGATTGAAAAAACATGGCTTTGAAGAACTACTATATGAAAACAAAGTTGTTTCAAACACAATATTGCACTACAATCTATAAAGCTGGCAAATTAGTTTAGTAATAACATTTGGACTTAAAAATATTGCATTACAATCGATAAAGCTTGAAAATTAGTTGAATAATAATAATAATTTTTTTTAACTTAAAATAATTTTAAGCAATATTTTATATATATATATATGTTCTCTGCAAGAATAGCTTGTTTCAAACAGAATGTTACGAAGATGGTTGTGGAATTGTTCGTTCAATCAAATTTATATATTTGATCAATACTCATCATTTAAATATGGCATTATTAATATTTGGCTGGGATGAGAGCATTCATTTTCTTTGATATCTTCTAGAAGATCTAATGATTTTTTTTTTTTAGATCCCCTGTTTCTTCTCTGTCTCATAAGGAGGAGTAAGTGGGATCAGAATGAATGAAGGAATTTCTAAAAATTGAGAAGAAAAATCAACGAAAAACCCATTTGTAAGAGCTTTAGAGCTGGTATCCAAACAACGGAAAGTTTCAACTTCAATTCAACTTAAAATTCCAATGAGATTAATTCATTGGTGTCTATCAATCTTTCTTTATCGAATGTGTTTATCAACCCAAAAGAAGCAAGAAATTTCAATTTAATGTCCAGTTCACTGTTGCGTAACTAAAGAGGAATCTATCTTCCAACAATTCCTTTTTTTTCTTGAGTAAATATAATCAAAAGCTACAAATATATGCAGAAAATTAAAGATCAATGGCACCCAAATTTTTACGTGGAAAACCTCCCCGATGTGAGGAGTAAAAACCACGGGACCGTAGTCCATTAAAGTCTTTCACTATTATCAAAAATGGGAATACAAAGTCTTCTCTAGTGCAAACTAGAGTACAATCATACTTCCTCTCCGTTTCTCTTTGTTTTTGCCTCTCTCACAAACATATACAGTGATGGAAAGAATCTAGATGGTGGCTGGCATAGAAGGGACAGCAGTTGGAGCAGAACACACTCTCCCTCTCTCTCGTTTTTGGCTGCTACGTGAAGAAGAAGAAGATGAAGTTAAGTTTGGGTTTCAATTTGCAAACACATTTTGAGCTTGATATATTGGGCTTCACACCTCCGTAATTGATGAAAGCAGAGATTGAGAAATTGAAATGGTTGGTGTGTTTATTTTTGTGTAATGATTCAGTGTTTATAGTCAGATAAAGACCAAATTGAATCTTATACAAGTTAGGCTTAGTACTAATCGAAAATGAAGCGGCATCTACTATGTCAAACAACCAACCTGTGACTTTCTTGGTTCGAGACATTTGAAAGTTTGCTTGGGGTGTGGAGAGGGAGATTAGATTTTGTTAGTTATTGCATGCCGGGAAGCCGGCTATTGGATATTATAAACGATGAGTAGGAACTGACTCACGCTTTCACCTGGATATCAATCTTATTATAAACATATTGGACTCACGACGCAGCATCTACTCAATCTCAACCAGCCAACTTTGACTTTCTTGGTTAGAGAATTGCAAGTGCTGGGGTGAGAGGAGATTTTTGTTAGTTTATTGCATCGGCAGCGGCACTGTATATTATAAACGAACATCGTCGCTTAGTGCCACTGATAATAAGAGTGGTGCGCTTTTAACTATTTGTCGTTTGGACCTCAGGCTTCAGGCCTAATGAAAACTGGAAAGATGCATGATCGAGTCAAAGGCCCTAGTTTATATACAAAACTTCCCAGATGGGCAGAGCTCAAGGGAACCAAAGGATTGGATAGTAACAAAGGACAAAACTTTTTCTAGTATCAAAGTAAAAATAGTAACAAAGGCAGGCTTTAAGGTTGCCCGGGCCTTGTCTTCCAAAAATTCGCTAAACGTTTGAGATTACCTATGGCCAGGTTACATACATGCAAAGCTGATGGAACCTAAATGTAAGTAAAAATTCATTGTTAGTGATTATGATCATTAACATGCTTCTTAAACAGGTCTGGATATTGCTGACGTTTGGGCCTTTGCAGTAGTCTGGACAAACCCATTGCGTTTATCAAAGCGTTATTTAAAGTTTTCCAAATTCATTTCCGAGGAATTTTCTACTGTATTTTCATCTGGACATAGACAACATGCAAAGCCCAGATTAGATATACACGGAACGGTTTATAATAATTATAGTTCGACGGAGACATTGTAGAGGATTTTGATATTCTCAAAATCGAATTTGGCACATTCTAACCGTGTGACATAATGAAACTTTTAAAAGTAAGGTAACGTTAAGCCAGTTCCAACCATTAAAATAACTTCGCTTCCTCGTGCCGCGAAATAAGCTGAGGAACCTTATAGTTGTTTAAAACTAAAGTGGTGACTGATATAAAGAAACATTAACGTAATGTTAAACGTGTAATCCAGTTTCCCCATTAAATAAACTTCGCTTCATCGGTTTGTTGCCGCGCGAAATAAGTGATGGAACCTTACAGTTTTAAAAACTGAAGTGGTTGCCTGATATTCACATTTCTTTCACAAGATGTCTCCAAGCGAGGATTTACCTGGTTGCTGACCGCTTAAAACAAAAAAAAAAAATAAAAAAACTCGACAGAAAATATTAGCTGCCCTAAAAGAACCACAGAATCAAGACACAGAAATACACAATACAAAACAAAACCTTTAGAATGAACCTATATAATAAAATATCTTTTGAAACTTCGAACTGAGAAGACAAAAGTTACTGAAAACCGAACAGTTCTTCATGACCAATGAGGCTCTAGCTTACCATGGCTGGCTAGCGTGTTACATGCAAGAAGTTCTGAACTTTCTTCTAATGACCAAAGCATTATTTACTGGTTGAGTAAAAATGCTATTAGATATGTACATAAACTTCACTTCTTATTAATAATATATGTTTTGAAACTTCTAACCTGAGAAACATTGATTGAAACAGAGCGTTTGTTCATGCCTAGAGATATCTGCACATTTTTTTTATAACCAAAAGCATATTCACTTGTTGAAGCACACAACTATTGTAAACAGAACTCTGTGGCCTTAAACTGACATACATTATTATTTTTGTGAGATGGGATACATAGTACTGTATACATATACAAAGTTATCAAGTCAGCATACAATTTTAAGATCGAAATATGAGACAATCTTGCAATGTTAAGTATGGTTATCCTCGGAAGACAAATAAGCTACAGCAGCCAGTTAGTGATGTTACCATGAAACAACAATTTCTGATTCTATTTTCTCATATTATAGTACTGGTCGATGCATTGTATTGCTAATCCTGTGGATTTATCAGGTGTAAACCCAGCAGAATGACTCACCTCTAAAAAATTGATCTTTCAAAGGTTTTGTCGACATCCATACATCAAACAGAAGACAAATTGCTCGGAAAAAGCACGGAGATATCTTAATCCTTAACAAGCACTTAGTACTTTATTTTTTATCAGCTTGTTATAAAATTAACAAAGATAGGATCTAATTCAAAATTTTATCTGCTTAAGCTACGAAAAGAAAATGTTGAAAAGGAGAAGAGAGAAAATCAATAGGAATTGATGGCGATTGTAGCGCTTGACAATTCGAAGGTCATCTCTCTTGACAATATGCGGAATCAATGTTGAGGAAGAGCGTGAGAGATTATTGGTAAAATCTCGTGGAGATGGGGACATCCTCAGTTTCTTCTCCAATGTTGATTTGAGAATCGAAAGGTTTAACTCTGAAGGGCCCATTGATATGTGTGGAGAAAACAAGCATTAATTTGGAGCAAAATGGGCCTTCATCTTCTAAGTAGTTAAAGTGGAGGCCCATCATCTTTCTTTTCTTTTTCTTTTTTTTTTTTCTTTTTATTTTGAATAAAAATAACTATAAGTTTAATAAAACTGAACAATAAACATAAAATGTGCAAAAGATTATGTCCTTAAAGGTAATTTCATATGTTGGAATTCTTTGATTAATTTGTATTAATTCATGAAGAAGGGAATTTTTTTTTTTTCAATTGTTTTGATAGATATAGATAAAGTGAAGATGTAGTTTTTAATTTTTGTTTGTGAAAATATTAAAAGATCCTAAAGTTAAAGTGAAATTATTATCTTAAATATCATAAACAGTATGAGTTCGTCATGTAAACCTTATACGTAAATGTATTACGTGCTACCGGAATTTTGAACGACAAAGTCTTAAAAGATATATGATTTTTAGTTCTTTGACAATTATAGATTTTCATGTTTTTAATAATATGTCTGTTTACAAGATATAAGTTAAAAAACTAAAATATTTGGCATTTATCTGAATACACAAAACATCTTAATCGATAATATTATTTTTTGGTAACAGTATCCCTATTAAACTTATATAATTCCAAGTTGACAATACTCTTATAAATTTGTATTTTTGGTCTTCCTTTGTTTATTTTATATTTACATAAACAATTAGTTATTTAATTATAACATTTTTTTTTTCATAAATTTGATAATTAAAAAAACATGTAAAATATAAAATTACATTATATTTAATAAAGACAAATGTGTCAAAACATCATTTAAGATGTTACTTACATAAAGCCAAAATATCACATCTCTAAATTTGGATGTGGTTGCAACTCCTCAAGAAGTTGTTGATTTTGCTCCTCATTCATCCTCCCCTCAAAGTCTACGTACAACTCACGCAAGTTTTTCTTATTGTTTAATTCTATTCTCTTAACCTCAGCCACATCTCTCAAATTTCCCAACCCTTTTATTCCAAATTCTCGAAGGTGTTTGAAGTTTTTTAGACATTCAACAGGACATTCTTCACTACCATAATTGCCCTCACTTATAACAAATCTTCCTAATGTTCGAAGACCAGTTAATCTCTCCAAACTTTTTGGCATGTAACTTATACTATCAGTCCTCCAATTTAACAAATGTCTCAAGTTAATTAAGTTTCCAATCCCTTGAGGCAGTTTTTTGATATTTTCACAATATCTTATGTCTAAGGTTTGTAGATTATATAACCCACACAATGTCTCAGGCAATTCTTTTATGTTTTTATTCCAAGACAAATCAAGGTACCTCAAGTGTATTAATTTTTTTATTTCTACAGGAATTTCTTCAATTGAGCACTGTCTCAAAGATAATGACCTTAGACATGTAAATTGATCAATTAATTTGGACAAAACTATCTTAGGGTCAGTACCATAATTACAATCAACCACAAGACTACGTAGAAAAGTATTTTTGGTATAAATAGAGCTAGGAAATGAAGCCCCTCCTTGAATCTTTATCATTAAATGTCTAACTTTATCATGAGAAGATTCTAGTTCAATTTCTCCTCTACCATCAACCTCTATTGTATAACATTCATTTTGGGTAAGAAATTGAGCAAAATCATGTACTATATCATGCATCTTGCAAGAAAATACATCAATATTGGATTCCTCTTTTTCAAAATCTTGAAAGAAAGAACGCATTGCCAAAGATTTGAAATACTCTTCACCAACTAACTCTATATCTTTTTTTGAGTCTTTTGACTTTAAATAACCTTGGGCCATCCATAACTTAATTAGTTGTTCTCTCTCTATCTCATAATCCTTTGAAAACATAGCACAATATGAGAAACATTTTTTCAAAGTAGGGGATAAGTCATAATAACTTAATAGTAGAGGTCGAAAAACCTCTTGTTCTACCTCTTCTAATTCCCAAATTTCACTCTCTAAGACATTTTCCCATTCTTTAAATTCTCTTTTAAAACGCAAAAGACTACCTAAAGTCTTTACAGCAAGAGGCAAACCTTTACACTTTTTAACAATTTTTCTACCAATTTCTTCAAACTCATTAGTGGTTGTTTCAAAAAGTGCAAGTTGACTAAACAAAGACCAACATTCATCCTCTGATAGTATTCCTAATGAGATTTTGTTGGTGGTCCCAATGACATTTGCAGCATTCTCCTTACGTGTGGTTACTAAAACTCTACTTTCTAAAGATCCACACATGAGAGTATGTTTTAAATTATCCCAATTTCTACGATTCTCAGTCCATACATCATCTAAGACAAGAAGAAACTTCTTTCCTTCAATTTGTTGACCTATGTTTTGCATTACAGTTTCTAATTCAACTAATTGTGATGGACTTTTTGTGAGAGATTTTTGCAATTCTAAGCTCATCAAAAGGCTCAGAAACACACGCCCATATTTTTTTATCAAAATGGGTATTCACCTTATCATCATTAAAAACTAGTCGAGCAAGAGTTGTCTTGCCGATTCCTCCCATCCCTATTATAGAGATTATGGGGAGGACTTGTTGCTGACTACTTTGACTCAAGAGCAAATCGACTAATGAATTCTTATCATTATCTCTTCCACGAACCTCTTTTAAATCAATAAAAGAGGTTGTCATTGGTCGTTCTACTTCTTTGCTACCCTGAGTGATTGATCTAAAATGGAAACTCTCTTTCTCAGTAGCAATAATATCTAGTTTTCTACGAAGACCTTTTATATTGACAGCAATTTCATAATGCATAACGAGTGTCTTACAACTGAGACAACGGAGAACGAGGGAACATACCTTTTTCAGAGGCTTAGAAGCATGTTTAGCTCTTTTAATTTGTAATTCTAGAAAATTTGTGTTCCACTCGTCCAAGACATCATCTATGTCATAGGACACGTCTTTGAGCTTGTCTAACCAATCTCTCACAGCGTTCTCCTTCACTTGGCGGTTCTCAGCATCAGCCAGCACAGCTTGAATTGCTCGGAAATTGCTTTGAAGCTTCTCAACTTCTTGCTTGGAACCCACAATCAAGCTTATCCCTCCTCTCGCCTGTTGAAGAATGAATGGAGCCAGCTGTTCCAAGGCTATGGAAACAAGAGCTTCAGCCATATTGAATGATGTAAGTGGTTAAACAAAGATTGATTGAAATCGAAATATTTGGTTTGCTTATGTTGTGATAATACTGCAACTTCCATTCAACATTTATAGTGCATGGAAAAGACCAAGGAATAAATCCAAATTAACCAAAGTATTGCTTTGATACTAGTTAAAGTATAAGTGTTGATCAAGTAATTCCTTCATCAATCTTTTCTTTGAACGTATTTTATTTACTTTATTGCACAAACTGTACACTTAGTTTTTGTTGAAGCTGGCATATATTACTATAAAATAACATTAGATATTATAAATTAAGATTCTGATTAAGGGGTTAATGATATGAAGTCTCTTCAATCTACAAGCTATCATAATTACAAAAGAATAGTTCAAGCTATCTTTGAAGAAAGAAAGAAAGAATGAGATGCAAAGTGCAGAAGGCCGTATAAAGGAAAGAATTTGATGGATTATTGTTGGGAGAAGATGCTTACTCAAAGAATAATTATGTTTCCTTTACACTTTTAACTTTACTATAACTTGAGATGAAGGTAACTTTTTCTCAATTTTGAGAATGGTAGATTATGTCAATCTTGAAAAACAAACTCATGTTTAGAATATGTGAATCTTGAAAAGCAAAAGCTCTGCAATTCTGAGGTAGAAAATGTATAGCCGTACGAAAACAAGGTTGTTTCAAACAGAATATTGCATTATTAAGTTTGCAAACCAGTTAAGTATTAAATTAAGTCTTGAAGCACTGGCAAACATGAATTTGCTTTTGTAGAATTTCTTTGAATAACAATCAAATGGTATTATTTTGTTGATATACAAAATCATACAATGCCAAAATTATGCCCTAAAACTAAACATGCATGAAGTTCGAGTGAACAGCACTTAAAATCCCAGCTTCCCTTCCATCTCTGGTGCACAATACCACCACAACCCAGAAAATTTTCATGCATGACTTAACTATGGCATCTTACATGCTGCCTATCTATTCACTTTGTCGCAATCATGCAAATCCTCTCGACTGTTGCATATTCGACTTAGATGCCACAAAAAGCATGACTCAGCAATTAACTTGCTACTTGTTCCTCTAAAATCGGCTGTGTAGAAGAACCAGTTGAGAATCCCAGCTTTTCCATGACTTCTTCGAAGCGTTTTGAATTTGTCAGGTACAAATAACCAACCTGTGTACAAGAACCAGTTAAGGCATACAATTAACAGGAACCCATAGTAGAAACTAATGCATTCTTAAATGTAACAAATACTATTGCAAGAAAAAAAAGAAGGTACAGGGGTACTGACAGTGTTTCTAGCGAAGATGCTCTATTGTAAACTGCTGTACCAGCTCGTTTTTTTGTCCGTGTTTTAACAGAGATGATATTCTTTCCCCAGCGAAGAACATCCCTACGGTAAAGAATATCAGCTACCATGAGTCAAATGCCAACTCTGAACAAATAAATATCAGTGTAATTTCAGCAGCAGTTTAAACAGAGTTCTGAAAGATAATTTTCTCGCATTAAAAGAGATGCAATAGCAGCAGAAAGTAACAATACATTTACAGGAAAAAAAAAAAAAAAGTGGACTAAAATTGAGAGTTTTTAGCAGATTTCTCTCATTTAACAAATTTTCTTTAGTCATGTTTTCTTTTCACAATTTTGTGTAATCCAGACAACAAATAACAGTGCAGAAACTATTATAAGAATTGCTATGAAGCTACATACTAACTCAATTTGATAATAAACATTGAAACTATAGGGACGAACAGATCGGTACAGAAGAATATACAACTAGACCAATGAAAAGCAGAATCACAAAAATATAACTACAGGAAGCATAACTTATAAAGCCACAACATCACTCATGCAACTCAAAGATAAAACATAAAATTAAAATCATACTTGTGCTTCGCAGTGTACTACTGCCATTACACGAACATTATATTCTTCAATACTCAAGGAGGAAACAAAAAGTGCCTGCGAGCATATAGCTGCAAAGTTTGAGAAACACTTGAAGTTATGAGCGAAGGTCAAAATTTACCCAAAACAAGGGAAATATGTAAGTAGCAAGTAACATAAAACATGCTATCTCCCTCATAGGTTTCAGTTCAAATACAAATGCTCTCCAAAACAATGAAAAGACAGACTTGCTTTTGAAAGAAGACATAAATCCACGCATCTATAAGACCAACATTAATGGATTCCATATAGGTTCCTAACAGCCTTAAATATTATCCATAATAATTATGTATTATATCCAAATTTACCAACGACTAACCATTAGAATGCAACCCTTTCAAAGGGGCACTGATGAGATCTCTTGATCCCTAATATGGCACAGATGAAGATGCTAATTGAGACTGAGTTGCATTTGCAAAATCTGGAAAGTAATAAATAAATTGTGCTTAAAAACATTACAATATTTCCACAAAAACCCATAAACAATATAATTTACAAGTACCAGAATCATGATGTAGCTAAATAATCCATTATATTACAAAATTTGATTTCATGAATTTACAAGTACATACATCCTCTTACGCTAGTAAGCGAGACCTATAATTATATATTTCGAATCAAGTAATGAATTTATTTCTAGGATTTGGAGAACTGTAAACATACGCCAATACACAATTTTATTAAAAATTATAAAAAAAATCAAGTTGAAGCGAAACAAGAATAGAGAAACAGACCAGAGGCTTTTGGGTGTCGTTGAGAGAACTTGATGCGCAATATTTTCTTCAACGCCTGAGCTCTGTGTCACCGCAAAACTACATATGAAAACACATCATACGAGATGAGAATATATGGATATTATTTGAAAGGTGCAATATTATTTTTTAAATACAAATATAGTCTCTAAGGATTTAAGTTTTATTTTCATGAAGTAGAAGGACTTCTACAAAATGTTTTTATCAAATTCAGAACAATAATACAAAATAATCACAGAAAAATTCTTATCAGTTTTACAAATATTCTCAAATACAATCTAACTTAACTTCAATTCTAGAACCAACCTCAAATTCAACAAAATTCCCACAAGTAAATTCATGGAATCAATTGAAAATGCTTAATGAATTAGCAACTTCTCTTTCATGTAACAAGGAATTGGGCCATTATAAGGCTTTAGATTATTGAATTTTATGATTAAAATAAGTCAATAATATCATCATCTACATATTATATATAAGCAATGTGGTCTCACTTCCCCACTTTATCCATAAAAAAAAATTATATAAATTAATGAGATTTACGAAGGTTAATGAGAATTGCTTAAAGAAACTGTTGAGTTTGCATTTACGAACTAGCATAGCGACGAATACTAGAAGTTGAAGAGAAAAATTTCTCAACTGTTAGATGAATGAAACCAAGAAACTACCTGTCTGAAAAGGAGAAGAGAGAAAATCACTAGGAATTGATGGCGATTGTAGCTGCTTGACAATTCGAAGGTCGTCTCTTTGCACATATGCGGAATCATTGTTGAGGAAGAGCGTGAGAGAATCTTGGTTAAAATCTTGTGGAGGAGTTCTCTTCTCCAATGTTTGACATCTGAGAATGCGAAAGGTTTGAACTCTAAAGGGCCCATTGATATTGTTTGGAAGATAACAAGCATTAATTTGGAGCAAAATGGGCCTTCGACTTTAGAAAGTTCGCTTCTAAGTATTTAAAGTGCCCAGGCCCATCATCTTTTCTTTTTTTATTTTTATTTTTTGAATAGATAGTAGACTTTAATGTTTTAAATAACCAAATATTGCTTGAATTTCGAAATAAAGACCGTAAACAAATGCAAAAGATTATATCCTTAAAGGGAATTTTTAGTGATTGGAATACTTTGATTAATTTGTATTAATTCATGAAGAAGGGAATTTTTTTTTTTTTAACTTTTTTTATTGATTGATAGATATAAATAAAGTTGAAGATGTAGTTTTTAATTTTTTTTTTTTTCTGAAAATATTAAAGATTCTAGACTTAAGGTGAAATTAGTTATCTTAAGAGTATTATAAAATAGTATGAGTTTTTGTCATATAAACTTGTATATAGATGTATATACGTATTACCAGAATTTCGAACGACAAAGTCTTAAAAGATATATGAAATTATTATGATTCAAATACTTGTTATTTAAATAATTTTTAATTATTTGACAGTCGTTGATATTCAATTGGTTTTATAACTTACGTCTGTTTACCAAATATAAGTAAAAGGACTAAAGTATTTGGCTTTTATCTAAATACAAA